CTTAAATGAGAAAAGCAAGAAGAAACGTAAAAAGGAGAGCATGTAGCACTGAGTATTGTTAGTGTATAATTTGGCGCCCAACGAATGCCCAAATAGGTACTCAGACCCAACGATACGTGGATGCTTGGAGAGCGCCGTATCAAGCCTCACAAAGAGAGACTTGTGGGGGCCTCTGTAGAACGACATGGAAAACAAGAGAATGGGACGTGAGAGAGATTAGGAGCGCATGAGTAAGGAAGCAGCTGGGAAAAGGGTCGCCATAAGCGGCCAGCCGCCGTCCGTGTGCTGGGTACCAATCAACCTTGTGCCACATGTTACTAGTAGTCGCAGGTAATCATCCCTCGGATGAGGCTTCAAAGTCAGCCGTGACTTGTAATGTCTTGCATCGGGCGGCGCGCAGATGATGATGAGGGTCGACCAATTTCGAGAGAAAACGCCGAGTTAGAAGGCTGGGTTTATGAAAGCGGCTCGGACTGCGGCGATGGGGCGAGCGAATCTTTTTTTGCCAGGGACACCAAGGATACGTTCTTCTGTGCTGCAAGGAGTAGACGTGGTATGATGTTGAAATTGAATGTCTTTTCGAAGGGTCGGGCGAAGCTGAGATTCACGAGTCGATGCCGTAATTCCGAATCCAATCCCTGATTGCTTGCATCGACAGGCACCGCCGGATCTACATCTGCTTTGCGCGACTCTTTCTGTTAGTGTGAAGCAAGCGAGCCTCAGCAGCAGCACGCACGTAGGTACAACATACCCATTTCCATCGTTGCGAGACAGACACAAATGGCCAGACTCTTGGGTAATGTCTCAATCTCCTCTTTTCGTCTCCGCTCCAGTCTGGAAGAGGAAACCAAAATGCATGTGCTCCTTGCGCGATTCCAGCGTGCTCTTTCCCTGCTACCTACAGAGCTGCAAGGTAGCTGTATCTTGAGCATGCACTTCGCAGCCTAGACGGCAAACTCATGTTGTGTCGTGTCGTGCCATGTTGTCGTGTGTCGTGTCAGTTCGTCTGGCGCATAGGCAGAGGGATGTTGTAGACCATGCCTGCCTATCCACGCACCGATGTGCAAGACATGCTAAAGCGTCGCACAGCATATGTGAAATTTTGTGCCTGGGGATGGCGCCAGCCATCATATAACTCCCTGTCCGTTGTCAGGTGTGCACGCTTCACTCGCGCACGTACCCATCTCTATCTTGGGCCACCTTCATGACATACTTGATGCGTGTCCTTGGAGAGTGAATATCCGGTCGCTCTGAACTAATGAAGAGAAAAGTTGGAAGAGAGGGAGAATCATGGACCCGCTCTGGTGCCCAACTCACACCCCTTCTCGACGCTTTGCCAGCTTTCAGATGTGTGCGCTCGTTGTCATCGCGAGGAATGCCCCGCCGCTGTCCCATGCTCATTTGAGCAGTTTGTCCCCCTCTTGGGCAGCTTTAGTATCCGATCCTGCAGTACAAGTTCTGATTTAGACGTACATGTTCCAAGGAAAGGGTTAGAAGCAATGTGTTGGCACTTTTTTTTTTCTCCCTGATCCTCGACCGGTGAAGGGCCAGAACTCGCGATGTTGCAATAATATGTAGGGCAGTATCCAGTGACTTCAGCCTTAACAGGCCGCTAATGCAGTTGACATACGCTCTCCACCACTTGCGCCACACAATTTATGGTGCCAGCTACAGCTGATACGGGGCACTTGAAAAAGATTGACCTTTTAGGGGGAAAAAAGGCCTTCAAACATGAAAGCGGCAAGAGATCGAAGGCGGCTTTTGCTAAAAGTGCAGAGTCCTGTTTATCAAAACTTCATCAGCGGCAGCCCTCATTCTGAGTGGGAGGACGATCTTACCGTTGGGCATTCTCACGCCTCTTAGTGGTATCTGCCGCTCGCATGCTTATGATGCTACCTGATAGTACAATGTAAGCGGAAATATTATTGCATTCGCAAGGTTAGCTTACCAGGCAAACATCGTATAAGCCTAATTGTCAGCTGGATCTCCCTCGTCGCCCTCGTTGGTTCGTTGCCCAACATGTCCACACTGAAAGCATGATACGCACATGCGCATGTATGCACATATTCATATAAGCAGCGATAGATCACAGTCCGCCTTACCACGAATCTTAATATTCCAGGGGGAACACCCTACTGGTCGACTCTTTGTGAAATGCCATCAGCCCATCCAAGTGTGCTTTTGCAAACAGTCAACCAAAGCTATAGACAGCCTCCATGCCAGAGGCGCGTTAGTACATGCATGCATGCACCCATCATAGCTTGAGAGGTGGCTCCTCCAGGCGGTCTCGCAGGTCGAACACCAGTGCAGTTTCCATCTATTTTTTTCGGTTTCCCCCAAATGTACGTAGCATCAGGTCGTACTGCTGCTATTTCGTATCCACTCAGCCCTGCTGCTAAGACGGGAGGGGGCATGTAATGTGTTTGCCAGCAACTGGCAAACTGGCGGCAAGGTGTCGAGACAACTCATCGGCAGCTCTCAATATGGTATCGGGGACTGGCATCCGGCGGACACGCCGGCATCATCAACCGTCCGAAACAGTTGAAAGCTGGTATGACTCTGCCTGTATATTCTGGCTTAGCTGACAACGTGGACGGGACCTACTCCGCACATGCATTAGCACCGCGCTCTGGAGTAAAGTCAATGGGTAGCAAACTTCTATAAGAGCCGCGTCACACAGTCTGTTGACCGGGGAATCAGTGGTTCATTGCCGCACAGCCAAATTGAAAGCGCGGCACAGCGGTGGCTGGTTGCGCAACGAGAGAGGAAACCTGACTCTGGCGGCCGCATGCGCCCAAGTATCTTCGCCCAACCGCTAGTGCCACGGAGCCACAAACCAGGCATTCGGCCTCTCTCCAACGCACGATAACCAATATTCGTGTAGTCCGTAGGCAGAGGGAAGCGATGGCCTGCAGTCGGGAGGCCGTAAGAGCAGCAGCAGCATCCTCATCCGTCAGCTGCCGGCGTGGACGGGCCAATTGCATCAGCTGGGTAAGGGTATTGTCCATGAGACAGAGCCCCTGCACTCTGCGGCAGACGTATCAAGGCACAGCTCCCAAGAATGAAGTAATGCGGCTGGCCATGTCTTGCTCTGGTTGGCCTCTGCTGAGCGGCTATCCTGCTCTGAGGCCGGCGAGCAACTGATCACCCTTTGTGACGCCCATTGTGGCCCAAAAAAATACTTTTTTTCCTGGCCATCCACGCATGCATGCAGCGTGTATGTGGGTATGCTTTTTGAGGTATGGTAGTAGACGTGCATGGCAGCAGCGAATTCGTGTGTGAAGCAGTAAATATACCATTCTTTCTTGTTGCGCTCTTCTGTATGCTCCATCTTCTTAATAGTCAGCACCTGAGGCATCTATTTCAGTCTTGATCTTCTTGCCTTACCATCACATCCGTAACTGAGGTCGTGGCGGAAGGCACGTCCGCAGCTGCGGCAAGGGCGAACAACAAGAGGTGCACGGACCTTAAATCTGGTCCGGTGTGGGGCTCACCGGCAGTAGTCCCGCCCGCGTTTGCTCGGTGGCTTGTGGCAACTGCAGTTGGTGCTAGCAGCTTGAGAGATACGGGGTAATAGAGCAGCAGACTGGTATGGGGTACCGCGGGCAGCAGCAACCGTACTGGTACTTTCAGCTTGATATGCTATGGCGAGAGTGTCACTGGTACTGCTACTGCGCCAATTCCACCTGTACCTCTCTCCAGGGGCAGGGGCAGGGGCTCTGGATAGCAGCCCAGCCGCTTTCTATTAGAGGCATGGCGGCTGAGATCCGACCTATAGCCGCTAACTACAGGCAGTAAAGACGTACCACCTATCATTATTTGCACCCCATTGTGATATCGCCGGCAGTGCTGTGACGCTTTTTTTCTTCCCTTTGCATCCATGGAGTCGTGTGACTCCGTTGCAGCCTCAGATTTCGCTGTACTCGCTCTGAGAATATGGATTCAACTTGTCTTTGCACAAGCCGTGGTCTGGCGCCTGCGAGGGAGCAATCTGGGAGGCAGACTTCAGACGGCACCCCAGCCAGCTCAGCGCAATGGCGCCTTTCTTCAGGCCATCATCCACTCACACGCACTGACAATACACGCCCCACCCTCCCGGATTCTTGACCCAAATCACGTCCAAGTACTCCAATCTATTGGTGTGCTTGTAGGACAAATTGTTTACGCTAACGCTTCATCAAAGGAGAGTAAATCAGACCAGACCATGAAAAAAAAAGAAAGCAGGCAATCAACATCCACCGCCAGCCCTGGTCAAATTATCCCAGCCCCGTCACACCCTCTCGATGCTGCTACGTCTTGACCCATCCATTCCATCGCCTTGTGTTCCCCATACTAGCCGTGGGTTTCTTTCTTTTTACAGGCAACGAGAAGGCTCCCCTGGTCTTTAGCCGCATGCCAGGAAAACAAAGAACAAGATAATTGCTCGCCTTCAGCCATTACTCGCCCCTTAGACTGATCCCTCGCCAATTCTTTCCAGGCTCCAAGAATAGCATCTGCTACATGCGGACGGATATACTGCTAGTATAGAGAGACGCCACCTTGTACGCCTTGCCAGCCATTGTTGGATTACTCGTGCTCCCTTGTTGCCTCTGTCTCCATTTCGGATGTCTGCTGCCCGGTGTCTGGGCCCTCTTGCATGCAGCCTACCGCTCCGCGTTAAACACGCACGCCAACACTGAAGCTGCAAGCATTGACAGCTCAACCACCACGTTTCTGCCACCAAGGCTTTCTTGGTATTTTTTTTCTCCGGCTCGGCTGCATCTAATTCCTACTCTGACCCCAGTAGCGCTCTCCGAGTGCCACATCACACACGGCTTCTCATTCTGCTGGGGTCCCATCCCCCCCTTGTCCGTCGACTAGGTCGTAATTCCTCTCGTTTGCCTACAGACGTCCTCCACCGAGATCAAGACCCCCGTCAGGTCGAGCCCACCGCGATATAAGACATCAGGTCTTCGCCGTCTGAATCGCAGACTCCAACTCTCTTTTCTCTAATCAGCCATCTCCAGACGAATGCTTCAGTTGTCTTAATCAACACAAAAAAGTGCTCAGATCCCCACACGCCGCCTTTCCTGCTTAGGATACGAATACTACTGCTCCCTTGAGAGCCTCCATCCCTCGCTCCAGCTTCCTACCCACCGCTCTGTCGAGGGCACAGCATACTGCCTATAAATCTGTCACTCTCACCTCTCTTCTCCTCATTCCTTTTTCAAGAGCCAGCTCGACTTTCGGTGCCGGTATATACGCAATTCTCGACCGTCTTTCTCCGTTTCTCTTCAGCCGCGAATCTCATCACCCTAATTATCACCAATAATACCTTATTATCATAATGTCTACTTCTTCGTCTTCTTCCCACAGCGGCTCAACATGGCAGGAACGCCTTGAGGGTATGGTTTTCTTCAATTCTCGTCGTTTACTCAACTAATACCGTGCAGAGGTTTGCCGTGACGCCCAGATCATGCCACCCACCTTCCAAATCGTGTCTGATCGACGAGGTACAAACACATTTTTGGCCCTTTGTCTTGTTTTCATTCGCTAATATCATATTACAGGCGGTCGAACAGCTTGGTCAAGCCAGGTTACAATCCTGGGCCAGACCCTTGCCGCACGATACTGGTACGATGGAAAGAATCTCAACAACGCCAAGGAAGACGCTGCCGAATGTGCTTTGAACTGGCTGAGCACTTCGAGCAACGCCTCCCACGTCCGAAATTGGAGCACTTGGTGAACTATAACCGCCACCTATTTCTACTGCTTACCAGCATCATTCATTACACTTCTTTTTGCAGCTATCCACTGCTAGCGACATCGAGCAGCGACACTCGTTGTTTGTTTTACTATACCGGTTATTTTTTTTTTTCCTGTCATTCTCTTGTTATTTTTTCATTTGTACGGTTTACTATATCTGGAGTTGGAGTAATGAGAACAAATGCTTTCCATCTTGAGGAAGCTGAAAAAAAAAGAGGATAACAGAAAGGGCGGCGCAATTTGCAATTATGCCACGATTTAGGAAATTCTATTGTCACTGTACAGAGAGGTTTTGCCTCGGACATCTGCTCTGAGTCCGTCTTCAAAATCCTTGGCGGACGAATAGATTTCGGCCTCGATGAACAGTATAGCACATGGGATTTTCGAGAGCAGGGCCGCATGCTTACAATGTATGTGCCTCGCTGCGTCCGCATCACACTTGCGGAGATGGAGTTTGTTGTACTGGGATGGTTATTTTGGGTTATTTGTTCTGTTTTGCCTTTTGTGGTTCGATTTGATTTTTACTTGCTGGGAGGATTATTTATTTCACTGTTTGACATTGAGATCAGGAGCCAGACACACAAAGTAGGGGGGCCGTGACGAGTTAAAGGCAGATGAAGATTGGACAGGCGCATAGCCCAATAAGACGTGTTGAAGCTGATACTACTAATTACTGTATAGTCGACTTTTTGTTAAGAAAAAAAGAAACGATTAGATGCGAAACTGACAGCGTAGAGAGGCATGTGCATGGCTTTATGACTGACTGGCAGGTCTGGGGATTTCCATGACGTGAAAGCTCGAGTGCTTCCTACGAAAATGAGGTCATGTGGTCAAGGAGGAAATGAGCGCCCCAACATGGACAGGCAGGCTGCTGGTCAATGCTGTGGAACAAATCGTGCAAGGATGGCTCAGATTCATCCGCCAAACGAATCTGAGATGAGCATGCAGGGATAGGGGACTAGGATTAGAGGCAAGACGAGGTTGGATGATGACATAAGCGATGGTGGAAATGTAGTGATTCTCGGGCCGCCAGTTTTTCCGATTCGAACGGCGCTTTGCGTAGTGTGGTGGGCGGCTCTAATTTTCGCTTGCTTGATGGAGAGGTAGTGAAATCGATCACGCGAAGAGTCCAGGAGGAAGAATTGCGCCTTGGGAGCACTCTTGGCTATCCGGTGCACCATAATGGCTTCAAGATTAAAGATCTGGGGTGCATGCAGGACTCTGGCGGTCCGACCGCAACCCGCCCGCCTGCCAACTCAGCCGTTCCGAGTCCAGATCTCGCCATCTCGATTCTATGCCGACGATGCGACCAACAAATCTTCCAAGCCTGCTACCGGCGCAAAGGTAGAAACATTCGGCTCAGACACCAAATCAGAAACAGGGAGCGCTGGAGTTGCTCAATCGAGCGAATTGGCTCAGAAGACGCCCGAAAAGGTGGGATGATAATCCCCCCTCCCCCTCCACTCGAGTACAATACAATGCTGATTTGCGGGGCGGTTATAGACAGCTTCAACATCACAAACGTCATCTATCGAAACGCTGGACGATGCGGCATTGGAACAGATTCTATATGGCGGCCGGCCAGCGACAAGCCAACGGGAAGGCGGCTTGACGGAAGCGCAAGAGGACGCCTTATATCGTGAGGGTGTTATCCCCCCGCCAGAAGAGGCAGACGCCGCTCTCGCCAAATCAGAAACCACTGCTGAATCGCGATCAATACTCCCCGTTGGCTCAGAGTTGCAAACTGCAGGCCACAAATTTGGCCTACCTACGAAACCCTACCCGGATGGGTTCAACGTCAAGAAGCGATACCACCCGGTGCTGGAGCAGATCACCAGGCTTCTGATGCGCCATGGAGAGCTCAGCGTTGCGCAGAGAGTATGTTGGATACCAAGCCTCTCCTATCCCTATGAAATTACCCACATGGCGCAAGAATACTAACAGGGACTTGTACGACTTAGAATATGGCCATGGTCATGAACTTTTTGCGAACGGCACCCGCCCCTATCTACAGTCCGAAATTCCCCCTATTACCGGGGACGCCTCCCGCCTCGCACCTCCCCCTTAACCCCGTTCTCTACATCACCATCGCCATTGACTCCGTTGCGCCGCTTCTCAAAGTAAGGAACATTGCCGGCGCTGGTGGAGGAGGCCGTGCGCTTGAGCTTCCGGTCCCCCTCGCAGTTCGGCAACGCCGAAGGATGGCCTTTCAATGGATCCTGGATGTCATCAACAAGAAGCCCTCAAAGGGCAGCGGACGAACTCAGTTTGCCCACCGGATAGCTGAGGAGATTATCGCCGTGGTGGAGGGCCGATCGAGCGTGTGGGAGAAGCGGAAGCTAGTGCACAAGCTTGGCACTGCGGCCAGAGCCAACGTGGGCTCCAACAAGCTCAAGACCAAGAAGAAGAAATAAACAATTAAAGAGGGAAAATTTTATGACGCGACGGCGAATATCGAATGTATATTAGATGTGTATTCTACGGCAAGGAACTTGAAAAAAAGGGGGCAGATAAAAAAAAACAAAAGCAGTTTATAGGCATTGGACACGGCATGTCTATTTTTTTACATAGAGGCGGCCAAGTGTAAATGGAGAAGCGCCAGTTTTCGAGCGCGAGCACCTTTTACTCTATCGAATGCTCCCTTTCCAGTAAAAGATCAGCTGATGAGCTGATGAGCGCAAGTAATGTTGTATTGTAGTCGAAGACGCCCCCTCCAACTCATTGCTCCGACTTGCTGGCCCCCAGCCCGGGCAGATCAGGGACTCTTTTTAAGGTTAAGTTGACCCAACGCCACAGCTACTAACACGAATCCAAGAAGAATTGCCGTCGTACACGGGCAAAGCATCCAATGAGCGCAAGTCAGGCCAGCATAGTTGGGGCAGCTTAGCGGAGTAGCACAGGGCAGTGCAAACTATCCCTGGGGGCCTTTTGAAGACGAAGAGGGGAGTTTTGGATCATGCCTGTAGATTTGCTTCTTTGAAGCTCACGGCATGACTTACACCCACCTCGTTGCGAATAGAGGAGCGATTTAGCTTACATTATCGTTTGGCTGCGAAATGCGGCATCAATACGGACGAGGCAGGCTAGCAGGCGAATCAGAACAACTCCATGTAACATTCCCGTTGGTGCGACCAAAAAAACGCCTCCCCTTTTTTGGCCAAGGCATGCAGGCGGGCATGCAATGTGACTGTTCATCCCTTGCGTCTGGATTAAACTTAATCGCGATGGCTGCTGCTGTGCTGCCCTGCGAGCGAAAAAGCCACAAGGTGCTAGACTGCCGTAGCTCTGGTCTAAGGGCCTAGCAGCCGTGAGCGCGCGCCGTCGGGGGCCCTTGCTGAAGAGCTTAATCCGTATAGCTTCAGGGCCACCCCCCCTGTAAACCGCTCCGGGCGTCCAAGGCCTCCAGGGCGCTGCCGGAGCGTCGCAAGCCGCTGAAAGCTCCCGCTTGGTCCCCTTGACTCGGGCGGCCCCTCCTCCCCACGACGAGCCTCTCTTGCCCATCAAATCGCCTTTAGGCTGCTCCCTAGGGCCTCCTCTCCCCCAACTTTGCCCGACTCGGACGAGCTCCCGCATGTGCTCCTCCAGACGTGCGGCCACTGCATAAAACTCCAAACATACATACATACCGACTCTGGGCACGCTTCCATCGACAATCCGAACCCAGCTCCCAGCTGTCGTCTCATCGCCCTGCAGCCCTGTGCCCGCCATGATCTGAGAGGCGTCGGGCACAACGTCGCTGAACCGCCCTTCCGGCCCATGCACAATATGCTCCTCTGGTCTCCAATTCGGATCCAATCGACTCGCCGTCGACTTCATCGAAAGCTGCCCTGCTAGAGACTGCGGCGGCCTCCCGCGGATCAATCGTCTGCCCAGATATCGAAGCTATAGCAACGTCAATTGTCGAGAGCCGCTGCGCGAGAGCACGTGTCTGCGAGATTGAAAGGATATTGGGGCTCTGCGGGCGTTTTTTTCTCTTTCATCATTATTTTGGGTGCTCGGCTCGCCGGACATCACCGGCTGGTCTCACGACATATTATACCGCCTACCGACTGTCTGGACACGATACATTTGTGACAATCCTTTTATCCCATTAAAAAATACAACTTCAACCGTCAACATGGCGAACAACAACAGCAAGTATCGCCCTATGAGCATCGATGCCATGCTTGACATGGAGCGGCAGGAGGTCCTCGCTCTGCTGGAGGGCAACAAAGAGGCCCAATCCGCCAGAGACGGGCGGTCGGGTTCGCCTTACGCGTCGCGTTCTCCTGGTCGCGGCATGCTTGATATCGCAGAGGATGAGATTCCTCCGAGCAATGCCACGTCTTCTTCCAACAGACCGGCTCCGGCCTCTCAGGGCCCCGTGAGGAGCATGCTCGACGTTAAGGCGCCGCCTTCTCCACAGCTGGTCCGCAGCATGCTCGATGTTAGTGGCTCTGTGCCGGACTCTCCCAGACGAGCTGGCCGCAGCTCAACTCCAAGCTCTCCTCTACTAACGTCTAGTGACCCTACCTTGAGGCAGTCGCCGACTTCAGGCTTGGCGCCCCGGAGTAGATCTGATGCTGGCTTGCTTTCTGATCCTGGACGGGGCCCACGAAGCAGCCTGATGTCCAACTATCAATTTTCTAGTATACTGCCGCATAGCTCAGGACCTCAGCCGTCAGTGAGGTGGTCGTCTTCGAGAAACAGCAAAGGTAACAAGCGAGATAGTGTAGGATCCCTAGGCCCTGAGGGCGCGCTTCCTACGGATAGGGGCCGGTCTCCGCTTGGAGCCTCTCGGTTTTTCGGCGGATCCAAATCTTCTCAAAATCGCCGCTGGAGCAGTAGGTCTCAATCTCCGGCGACGTTTGCTTCATCACAGCTACCCCCGGGCAAGGCCCTTTTGAAAGATGGCCAAGTGATGGATCTCAACAGCGCCTATAGAAAACTGTCAGATGCGAATCTCATGCATTCTAGCGGAAGCCTGGCGCAACTGCCGATGCGGAAGAAGAACGGAGAGGCTGGAGAGGGCAGGCTGGTCAAGGATTATGTCGGACCGGATGGCGAACAGCTCGATTCTAGTGAAGAAGAGGAAGAAGAGTCATCCGACGACGAAGACCGAGGGCGTAAGAAGTCACCTCGTTCGTTGATACACGGTGCAGGGCCCAATGGTGGAGAGAGCACGGCCAGTGGCTCGCAGCCTGGAGGGCGGCAGGCCTTGAGCTTGCTTGCGGCGGCGGAACAAGAACGTAAGCGAATTGGGACTCTGGCCTCGCTTGCGAGCAGCCAGGAAGAGAGGAGAAGAAGATGGGGGAGCATGCTGACTTTCTTGAATAGGCTCGCAGGTAGCATCCCAGCAGCCTCAATATCAGTACCGGTCCCTGATTGCGGAGCCTGAGATCAAAGTAACAAGTGCGTCCGGAGAGACTGCGAAGCCGTCAAAGGCCAATAAGGGCGTCCATCCGGCCACCAGCTATGACCAGGGCCCGATGTCGCGGGCCCCATCTATGAAGGACTCGGATGACGAAGCTGACATTGACGATATCAAGAGGGCCCAGAATTTGTCCTTTACAATGACCAACATATTGGAAACGCCAGAGGCGCATCGTGCTATCCGTATCATCTACCGCGGAGATTACAATAGAATTGTCCAGGCAGCTGAAGAGGAGAATCACAGACTCCGAAAGTATTTGGTGGCCACGGACCTTAGTGACGAGTCCACTCATGCTCTCGAATGGGCAATCGGCACAGTCCTTCGAGATGGTGATACTCTGGTCGCGATCTATTGCATCGATGAAGACACAGGCATAACGACGGGTGAGGGATCTGTTGTTCCTGATGAATCAAAGGCAATGAAAGAGCAAGCGGCCGCCATCAACATGATGGCAAACGCGAAAGCAGCACCAGCGCAGATGAATCTGGTATCAGAGTTCAAGCGTAGCTCGGCTTTCTATCTACGAGGCACTGGTTCCAATATAGGTACGCCCAGAGGTACGCCCAGGGGCACACCAAGGGGAACACCAACCGGATCGCCAGCGCCGCTGTATCGTGGCGACCGCTTCAAGGCCGAGCAGGAGCGCAACCGCGCTGTGCAGGAGATTACAGATAGGGTTCTCCGTCTCCTCAGGAAAACTAGGCTTCAGGTGAGGGTCATTGTGGAAGTTTTGCACTGCAAGAATCCACGACACCTCGTCACAGAGGTGATTGACCTCGTCAACCCCACTCTAGTTGTGATTGGGAGCCGGGGCCGAAGTGCGCTCAAGGGGTATGTGTCCTGCTTGAGCATTATTTCGAGAAGAGGAGGGTTCGCTAACCATCGACTTAGTGTCATTCTGGGATCATTCTCTAATTATCTGGTTACCAAGAGTTCAGTGCCTGTGATGGTGGCCCGGAAGAAGCTGCGGAAACAATCCAAGTACAAGCGAACGCCGGTGAAGCAGGTGAACAACATTAGCAACCCAACGGCCAGAAGCTTGGCCAATGCCAAAGTTGACTAGAAGTCAGTCAAGTTTTGAGAGGTTTCGCTGGACGTGCTACGCAAACATATTTTGGCTCCTGGCTGTCCGGACACTGATAACAGAGAATATGGAAATCGTGCGCGCAGCGATTGTCACTGCTTGATTTTCTTCGTTTTCCCACGCCCCCTCCTCCTCGTCGATATGTATGTACTGGGGATCTCTGACCAGGGTGTGAGAGCGCCAACCACAAGTTCCGCTCAGTGACCACGGGGGACAAGCGCAAGCTACTATTGTATTGAACTAGATCGGTTGAAGCGACGAATTCAGCGGTAGCGGAGCCTAGGCGCGAGATGGAGTTGCTGGCTTTTCTTCTTTCGTTTATTTCATTCTTACTCGTTTGGGTCTTGTTTTGGGGGGAGCGAGGAGAGAAGTTTGAGCTGCTCTTGTATCTTTTCTCTTGCTTTACCCCACGGAGTAACGCGTTTAATAGGTAGTGATGTGTGGAATTCCTGGGAGATGACGAAAACAAGCAATGAAAACTACAAACTGAGAACGGGCGTCTTTTTTTAGTCTCTTGACGCTTCTTCTCTCATCTGGTATGCGTCATTATATGCACGTGTGTTGAATGTCCGCTCCTTGTCCCAACCAGCCTAGCGAGTATTCCCGTATTACTGCCCTGCTGCCCTTGCCTCGCCTTGTAGACAGACCTTGTGAGCGGATTAGGGAACGGTGAGAGGTGAAAGTTCGTTCATGTGACTGGATTTTTAGTCCATGAGGGCCGTGTGGGGCGAACAAGCGGCAGGACCAGGACACTTTTTCTTGTCATGTCCGGATGGCGGTGCTATGTATCCGTACAAGTTAAGGTATCTGCGAAAGTATGGAGTACCTGCTAGGCAGATCGATGGAGCATCCCGTCCGACGTACTCCATACTTGTGCTTGTATGTACAAGGTTGCTCGTTGAAGCGGGAGCGTAATCTATGGCTACTACCAGATGGGAAGAGGGATTCAAAGGGTCCGCACCCAATTTGGGCTGACGGTACGGGGGGTGCTGAGGATCGTGGTGTTGGTGTCTTACAACGCCAAAAGCTTAGATTTCGGCACGAAGCCTTACCAGCACAGCAGTTTGTTGGTGGTAGCAGTATCAGCACCTAAGGTACTAAGATCTACATTTGACCCCTCTCGCCTCTGGTCTCCCGTTTTGAAAGAGCAGAGACTGAACAAGACGAATGTCATCCAAGAGGAGGAGGGGGTGGCGTGTCTATTTCCTACAAGATAGGACTAAAAAAAAAAAAGAGAGATGTACAAACGAAAGAAGAAGAAGAAAACAATGGGGCGATGCGGCAGGCAAAAAATCACACAGAATGCAAAGTGCATGCATGAGAAGGACAAGAGAGGGCCAAAGACAAGTGCAAGGAGGGGTGGCGAAGCTGATGGGAGAAGAAAGACGAGAGACGAGAGACGAGAGAGAGACACGAAGCCCACTAATTGCGGGGTGATAAGATAACGGGAGCAGCCTAGTGGTTGGGGCCGGCGGGAAGAGAAGGGAGACGAGCCGCCACCAGCCGAGGGGCTTTTTTTTGGTTGATGGGCGAGATGCCTGGAATCGATGATTGAGCAAAGGATGTTTACTGACTTTGAGTGGTTTCTTTCAAAGAATGTAGACAGGCAAGACACTGGGGATGCTGCTGCCGGCACTGCCATGCACGTCCACAGATACAACAAGCTGGACAGACTGCGGGTTGCTGGTCTAGGACGAGGGGCGGATTGACAGCAAGGACAAGCATCCACCGACGGCACCAAGTGGGGGTTCCACGTCTATCTCCCAGCTATAATGTAGCTGGACGATGAAGGGAGGACGAAGATGGAGGGAGGGGGAGGGGAAAGGGAAAGGGAAATGAAGGCAAGACAGCCAGCCACAGGGATCCCCCAGAGATGATGGCAGACCCGCGACGACGCAGCGCAGGACGGGACAAGAGGCCAGAGAAGGGAGGGGGGGTGCCTGTTCGGATGGCTCTCTCTCTCGTCTGAAACGGCCGATGGAGATGTGAGCAGCACGTCTGATTGGCCGCGACGGCTGGGTCGAATGTCGTGCCACGAGCGCCGGTCCAGCCTCTCACGACGAAGCTCCCACCGCAGCACGGTCAGCGTCTGGCAAAGTGGGAAGAGAGAAAGTGGCCGCTTGCCGGGGCCGGCGCCAGTCTTCCAGTCACGGCTGCAGCTGGGGGAGAGGGAGGTCCGCAGCGTTGGGAGACAAAGACAGACAGGTCGGGAGTTGGGTATGAAGGTTTTGCGGTGCCGAGAGCTGGCAGAATGACATGAGGAGGGGAAAGAGAATGGATGAAGGATAGCTTTTTTTTCTCTTCATTCTCCTATAAAACGACTGGAAGAGCAAGGGAAAAAGAAAAAGAATCTGCAGCAAGATCGAGCAGGAAGCGAGGAACAAGAACCGAATCCGATCGATACATCATCGCTCCCGCATTGATCGCTGCGCTGCCGCCAGGGTTCATCCTCGCCCGCCGCATTGACGCCTCGCTGTCCTTCTCCATTCCCTCGCTCTCCCTGCCGAGCGGGCCTCTCACACTGTTTAGCCCGAGCTTGCAAGAGCCCCGTCCGGGTCGTTCTGCTCGAGGTTCTGGGACCGTGGCTCGACCCTTTTTCCGCATCGTCCCTGGAACCACGACTGGGTGGTAGCTAACCTGACCGAAGCAGCCAGCCAGCCCGGCCGCACCAAAGTACTGCATACTCCCAACATACATCCGTTCCATCTGCTCCATACCACCCACTGCCGGGGTCTGGACATCCGCCCAGCAGTTGCAAGCCAAGGCAGGCCAGGGCCGACTACCGACTCGACACACCTTTGCTTAGCCCCATCCCGCTGGACCTTGCCGTCCGCCTCCAAACTCTCCCATGTATTCGCTGGTAACGGTGAATCAGCAGGTCTCCCTGATCAGCGTCACTGTCACTCCCAGCACCTTTTTCGTTGCCCTGATTATTGTCCTCATCTTCGTCGGCCTCTACGTCCCCAAGCTGCCAGACTTGACCCTTCCACGAATCCCCATACCGCGCTTCCTCACCGCAATCTCAGGCGACGACAAGACGCTCCCTCCATTGCCGCCGTCGCCCGTTTCGCCCGTTTCGCACATCTCGCCCGACCGACAGCTTGTATTGCGCGACCAGTCGCTTACGCTCTTCCGCCGCGAAAAGAAGGATTCCCACCGGGACAGAGACAGAGACCACGACCGCCACAGGAAAGAACCGAGAGATCGCTACAAGGACAGAGACTACGCCTACAAAGAGAGGGATCACTACACCAACGACATCGACCATGGACGATCCCCAAGAAAGGCTCGACGCCTCTTTGCGGGATTTCGAGACTCCAGCAAGCCCGACATCTACGACGAGGAACTCATCTATTCTCCCCAGCGAACCGGCGATAGAGGACGATCTCCTAGCGGACCTGGACGTCGCGTCCGTCGGCTCTTATTCCCCTCCAGCGTGGCGGAGACTCGCCAACGGTAGTCGGAGCCACGGATTCTGGAGGCCGCCGTCGCATGATGCGCTCAGCGCAATGTCGCCGATGCGCCTGGCCATGCGCAACACCCCCTACAGCGAGCGCGACGATGACGACGACACCGACGACGATCTAGACCTCGAGGACAACCAAAACGACATTTTGCAGCGGGCGATTCGCACAAGGCTTCCCACCGGCAGCATGAGCCCGGACAAGGTGAGGAGTCGCAGCCCAGATGGAAATCGCAGCAACACCTTGCGCTTCGAGGCACCAACCCCGCCCGTCCTGGAGAGGATACTGGAGTCGCCGCCGCCGACAGATAACTGTGAGTTGCCTTGATTGCTGCCTGCTTCTGCCTGGGCGCGCTCTGCCATCCCCGTCGCTTCATTGGACGTTGGCGACTGACAGATCCCCTCTTTTTCCCTTGTTGCGTTTAGATATCCGTTTCGCTGTGCGCGCCGAGGTTCAGCAGCGTACCGAACCAATTGAAACCGCCATTGCCTTCATCCGTAAACGCTACTCCGCTCTCACCGCATCATGGACGACCACCCTATTCAGCGTTCTGTTGGCCCTCTGTGGCGTCTCGCTCTTCAAGACGCTCATCCAAGAGCCTGCGCCGCGGCCCGTCGGCGATCTCGTCAAGGTCGCAGGCATCGCGCGCTCCTTTGAGCCGCTCATATACTATTCGGAGCATGCCATCACGCAGGTGCATGACTTGCAGGCTACAAGCGTGGCTGTCTGGGACCTCGGAGAGACAGTGCGAACCAGCGGCATGCGTGACGCTTCGCTCATCGTCGCCGATCTGGATGCTCTAAGCAGCTCAATGAAGACGCTTGCCACCGAGATGACCAAGTTTTTCGCCGTTGTTGACGGCGATATTGACGGGTAAGTGATGAAAATATACATGTTCCATCCAGCCTCCCAAACGTTGTGACATCATCCGTTCTCCCATCTGTTCCATCTCTTCTGTCAATTGAGCCTTCCCACTCTTTCGCCCTGTGTGTCTGTGTGTGTGTGACCCTGGTGTGTCGAGAGAAGCAAACAGCAAAGTTGACATGGGCGTTTGCGCCTTGTTGTACAACAGCATCCTCAATGTCATGGATTGGGCCAAGATGCATCTCAACCGCCTCCAGAGCGCTCCCTCTCCTTCCTCCCTCTCCTCCGCGTACGATAATATCCACAATATGCTTTCTGAGGCCCATGTCCTCGAAGACGCCTCTGGCGCTCCTACGCCGCTCGGCACGATTACTACGTACGTCTTTGGACTAAGCAACCCGCAGCGCGAGCAACGAATGGTCCAGCTACTGTTCAACGAATTCCTATCGATCCTCGAGGAAAGTGTTCGAGAGGAGCTTCGCTATAGCATGAACCTCTACGGCCTTTTCAACAGCATCGACCAGCACTTTCTCAACCTGGCGCGAACCGTCGCACGCGAGACGTCCGCCCAAGAAGAACTCCACAGCGATATGCTGGCCAGCCTCTGGGTGCGCATCCTCGGGACGCGCGCCGCCGAGCTGCGCAAGTTTGAGCAGAACCGCATCCTGCTGCGCGACGTGAGGGAGAAGACGGTGCGCAACAAGGGCATCCTGGTCAACCACCACAGCAAGCTGCTGTCCTTGCAGACCTCGCTCGAGGGCCTGCGCACCAAGCTCATCTCCCCGCTCGTGCGTGGCGCCAATGCCACCATCTTGACGCTCGAGGACCAGATTGACAGCTTGTCGGGTGTGAGGGACCATCTCTCCGAGATTCGACGCCAGCAGAAGGGCAAGGTTATGGAGACGCTTTACGCCAGCGTGCCGAGTAAGCAATTGCCACAAAGAAATCTAGCGCTTGACGATGGCAGGAGTGGTGTCTTTAGAGAGTCATGATCTTTTCCTTCGTTGCTCTCCATCTCTCGTGTTTTCTGCTAGACAAAGGCGTGCTTCCGCAATTTCTTGCTCCCTTGTATTCTCCTGGTTGGTTCCCTTTGTTCCAAAAGGCGTCAAATCATTCTACTCGGGGATAAACAAAAACAGTTGGTCCTGGTTGTTATCATCCTTTTCTACCTTTTTTTTTTCTCTCTCCATTATCAAGGCGCAAAACAAATGTCTTTTTTTTTTTTTTTGGCCCACTGCCAAAGAGAAGAGAAACCAGCGTGTGTTATTCAAACCGGAATTTTGATTTGATATTTCAACTTTAATTGCTTTTATTCTCTTTTGGTTACTGCTTCTTTATCGGTTTAATGGCACAAATGCATGGTCAAAGGAGAGAAGGGGGAAAAAAGGCTTTTTGAACCAAAGTTGGAAAGAAAAGAAAAGGGCTACTTGGCGGCGCTTGCAAATTTGAATTTGTCGGAACGGTAAGATACTATCTGTCCTTTTTTTTCTTTTCTTGTTTCTGTTTTTTTTTTTTCTCCCATTGGGAATAAGGGGGGATGTGAGGACATTACGATACCTAGTGAAAAAAGCTTTGAGAAAACAGCTACGGATCCGAGTTTTTTTTTTTACATGGATATTGGGTTCTCTCTTCCCTCCCCTTTTCTACCTACGTACCTTGCTTTCTTTCTTTATCTTTCATATCTCTATCTAGCATTGTTCTTGCTCTCTGTCTTGGGGTGTCGGATACACGGGCTTATCTCTTTGGCGTCTTCTCTTTTGTGTTGTACTCAGGCCAGCGGACTCTTTTATTTTTTTACTCTTCACACTCTCCTTTAACATCATTCTGTTTTTCCTCATTTTTTTTTTTCTCTCTCTTCTTTTCTTTTCAAATCTCAAATCTCCTGTTTTCTCTCACATCTTGTAGTATATTTCTCTAAAAAAAAAAATGTACTCGGCATGTGTGGTTATATCCTGTGTACCTTATCAATGTAACTGGGCAGTGTTCGGTCAATGGCGGTCTTTGTTTTTCTCACAAAGGAGAAGGGCGTTTTTTTTTTAATCATCTTTTTTGGTGCAAAGGGAGGTAAACTTTCCTTCAAATGAGAAAGTGACAGCCTTGGTTGGGCGCTGGGCTTCGGTTGGGTATGTAGCTTCTACCTCCTAGGTTTGGCAGTGTCAATTTATAGCAGCTATTTCATCTACAAAGTCAGATTCATCATACCTCAAAGTTTCCAACCAAATGTCTCTGTAAAAAAGAGCACGTACTTTACCCAGTCACTCATCGTCATTCATCATACCATCATTTCGCACATCGTGTACACAACAAGTTTAAGAACATGTTATCTATTAGAAATTCCCTAAAATCCTATCCGATTTCAAGCCTCTGCATCCGTACTTTTTGCCAGTGAAAGTGGACCATGTTCATGGGGGTATAGCCCAGAGGCAGCCTTCATAAAACCTGCAACCCGCAACGCCATCCCAGTGAGCCTGAATTTTTACCGGCGACGATGTTTCCTTATCGTCCCAGCCTAGGCGAGGCGACATCTCGCATCCGAAAATACCACCTCCCAAACCACACAACTTTTGTTCATCCTTAAGAAAAAATATAGCAAATAAGTCTATCCTTACATGATGCAATAGACGTAGGCAAACGTGGCATATCATATTGCATCTCACGTATCATTCGGTGTCATGGCGAATCCCATCTCTCGCCGTAGTCAAATATTTTTTAAACGACAAAGGAAAAGATATTGCGTGTCAAAAAAGTTGGAGATCTTGGCTTTGTTTAAGCCTTGGTTTCCTCCTCCTTCTTCTCAGGACCGGTACCCTGAGACTTGACGTACTCATCGTAGACGGCCAGCGCCTCGTCAACCTTGGCCTTCAAGGCAGCCTCGTCCTCAATGCTAAAAGAAAAAATGTTAGAGCTATAATTGACTAGCAGGACATGAAGATAACTTACAGGTTGACAAGCTCAGTGTTGTCCATCTCCAGCAGCATACCGGTGATCTTGCCAGCAAGCTCAGAGTTGATGGCCTGGATCTTGGGGAAGATCAGTTCACCAAGAATCTGCTTCTGCTGGGCAGGCTGAGCCGCAGCAAGCTGAGACTGGAGCATAGAAGGAGCGTTGGCGGCGTTGGTGTTAGCAGCGTTGTCACGAGGAGCCTGGTTGTTGAAGTTGCCGTTGCGGCCAGCGTTGTTGTTACGTCCCATACCCTGGCGGTTGTTAGGGGGGTAGCCGGGCATTCCACCCTGAACGTTGGGGGGCATGCCGGCGATGTTGCCACGGCCGCCCTGAGGAGCGCCACCACGGCCGCCAGCAAGAGCAGCCTGCTGAGCCTGCTGCATAGCAGCCATGAACTGAGGAGTTCCAGGCTGGCCAAACTGAGGAGGGAACTGACCGGGGAGACCGTACATGTTGGGGGGCATTCCCTGGGGAACGTTACGGCCACCCTGCTGAGGGTATCCAGGGAACTGGCCAGGACGGCCACCCTGAGGAAGAGGCATTCCAGGCTGGGGGAAAGGCATACCACGGCCACCCTGGGGGATGAAGCCTGGCTGCTGGCCAGGAGCATAGAAAACGGGGGGCTGCATGAACTGCTGCGGCATACCAGCTGCCGCGGCGGCCTGCTGCATTCGCAATTGGTTGCGAGCTTGGATGCTAGCCTCAAGCTGGCTCTTGCGAACGTCCTTGCGCTGGGCAAGAGCAACGTAGAGGGGCTTGTTGTTGATCATTCGCTGGTTCATCTCGGCAACGGCCTTGGTGGCATCGTCGGGGTTGCTAAAGCAGACGAAGCCGAAACCCTTGCTCTTACCAAGCTTCTTGTCTCCCTTCTTCTCAGCCTTCTTCTCGGCGTTCTCAGCCGATTCGGCCTCAGCCTCGTTCTCGGCCTCCTTCTGGTTCTCCTTATCCTTCTCCTGGTCCTTGACCTCCTCCTCGCCCTCCTGAAGAGAGTCTCTCATGACCTTGGCAGAGGTGATGGGGCCAAATTCGGAGAACATCTGGCGGAGCTTGTCGTCATCAACATCGTCATCGAGGTTCTTGATGTAGAGGTTGACACCCTGGTACTTGCTAGCCTTCTCAAGGCGCGCAGCCTCATAAGACTTTCGCAGTTCCTCTTCACGCTCATGCTTCTTCTGGGCACGGCCAACGTAGAGCTCCTGACCACGGAAATCATTTCCGTTCAGCTCATCGACAGCCTTGTAAGCAGCTTCGTGAGTGGTGAAGTTAACAAAGCCAAATCCACGAGATTTGCCCTCCTGGTCACGGGCCAGAGAAGATGAGGTGACATCACCATACTTCTCAAACAGCTCACGGAACTCATTGTCGGTGACGTCGGGGCTAATGTTCTTCACGTAAACGTTGGTGAAGTTGGCCTTCATCTCTTCGAACTTGCTCTGGCGGTCCTTCTTGGGGATATGGTAGCCGACGTAAACCTTCTTCTCGTTGAGCAGCATGCCGTTGACGTGCTTGATAGCCTGAGCAGCAGCCTCGTCGGTCTCGTAGTGGACGAAACCGTAGCCCTTGGAGGCGCCGGTCTCATCCTGGGCAACCTTGCAGCTGAGAATGTTGCCAAAGGCAGCAAAGGTGTCGTGGAGAGCCTTGTTATCAATAGCAACGTCCAAGTTCTTGATGAAGACGTTGCCCTGGCCAGTCTTGCGCAGAGCAGGGTCACGCTGAGACCACATGATACGGCAAGGACGGCCCTTGATGGGAGTGTAGTTGAGCTCCTCCAGAGCCTTCTCGCCATCAGGGGTAGAGTTGTAGTTGACGTAGGCGTAGCCCAGAGAGCGGCGAGTGACAGCGTCACGGCAGACACGGATGGAAGCCACGGCGCCAATCTGAGAGAAGAGCTCGAAGAGCATGGCCTCGGTGACGGAGGGGTCGAGTTCTCCGACGTAGAGCGAGGCAGAGTTCTGGGGGTGGGGGGCGGCAGTGGGGGTAGGAGCAGAGGCATCCTCAGCACCAGCGCTCACACCAGTGTCGACGGCAGGAGCCTTGACATCGTCGCTGCCATTGAGGGATGTGTTGTTGAGGTCGTTGGCGAGCTGGTCAACAGCGCCCGAGGTGGTGTTAGTGGCCATAGCGACGGTTGACTAAATCACGGGTATCGAACAAGACTGCAGAAAAACAACAAAATCAGCAACCGAACGACAAAAGCAAGGAGACCTCATGTCCGCGATGGATGGCGGCCATGATACTCGGCGTCAGTAGCACTCACTGATTCAGAAAAGGAGAATGAGAAGATGAGTAGTGCTCGGCGAGTCAGAATGAACAATCCGCAGGCAGAGACTTGGTGATAGAGGCAACTGGGGTGAGTTGTCTCGAATTTGGTTTTTTTGTTTTTTTGCGGTGACCGTTGTCGACGACGTCGCGCGGGACTTGAAGGTGGGTGGGTAGGGTTTTTTGGGGTTTTTCAATTTTTTTTGGTTTTCTTGATTGAAGAAAAGAGCAAGAACAGAGATCAAGTACGAAGACCGTACCTCTGAACTATCTCGGTTTTATGGGTTTTGGGTTGTTTGGATAAAGTTGGACGTTGTGTGGAGGAAGAAAAAAAAGAGAATTTTCAAAGCCGCTTCACATTTTTTTTTTTCCTGGGCAGCTAAACCTGTCTAGCGGTGGAGTGACCTTCCGTGCCTCCTTAGCGGCGAGTTGTGACTTCCTACTGGATGCGTTAGGGTATCGCATGGCGGCACAGTGCAGGGCACTGCCAATCAAGGCACTAGAATCCGCTGGAGCAGGCAGAGGTACCTGCCGGTCTGCATGGCAAAGTAGCCGATAACAAAAAGTGCCGCTTCTTTGTGCCTCTCTTTGTTAGTGATACACCGCAAACCCCGCCTCAGCCAAGTCTTTGGACTAATAGCCGGCCTATCAAACACTGAGGGTGTGATGCAAAGTCTGCCTCTTTTGTTCAAAAATTTTTACGGAGGCGCCAAAAGCCTTGTTTCTTACTTTGTCTCTAGCGGGAGTTACGTGCAGCCACCTGGAGGCTGTGTCAAGAATAAAGTAAAGAATTCGCCTTCCGGCGCCACGCAATGCCCCTCCAAAGAACAAAAAGTCTGTTCAAAGAAACACAGAGGAAACAAGGGTAACAGTGGTTGCCCCGCGTCTGTGCACTGTGTTGGTGGGATGTTCAAAGGCGGTGACTGACTGCTGAAACTTCTTTATCTTATCAGCACGCGACACTAGCCCCCCGAGCACTTTTGCCCCACCAGCGATGATGCTATCCGAAAGGCAGCCTGTTGATGACTGATGGCCGACGGACAGCTTCGGACAGCTACGGTGCTGAATCTTCTAGAATCGCCGCAGCAGCCGCAAAACACCACAATATCGTGCGCTGGTGCTGCGTGGCATGTTGGTCGATCCGTCCTCTTGATGTCTGCGTGTAGCTACTAGCAAAGCCAAAGCCGCCGCCATGTTCTCAACCTTCACGGGCAGCTCCCGGCGGCCGAGAAACGTGAACCTGAGCGGGCAGGCCAGCAACCCGTTCTCCAACACATCATGGTCTCCTTCGGCCGCTTCGAATGCTACAAAGACCGTTTCGGATGCGCAGGCCGATCGAGAAAAGCGACAGGCGGAGAGACGGCGTTTGAAGGCCGCGTCACAGATACAGAAGACATGGAGAGGATACAGATCAAGGTCTACCCTGAAGGAGCAGCGCAGGGATGACTTTGATCTCGTCTATCAATCTCCCTCCGATGCCGATGCTTTCCAGAGGCTATACGTTTCTTTCCCCCTCCTGTTGTCTTTTTTCTCTGCCGCTCATGCCGGTGATGTGCAACGCCTGTTCTTATTCATCAAAGACTGTAATCATGTCTCTCTGCAGCAACTATGTGACGCCAGCCATCATACGTCTCGACTCCAACCATTAATGGTCGTTCTGGTGCAAGCTTTGGACGTTTTAGTCGTTAAAGGGTATGTTTATAGTTGCTCACACGCCGAGGACCAAGCTGTTGGAAGCTGCTACAAGCCCTTGGTACCTCATAACGTTACGCACAAGCTGACCTGGCTTCTTAGTGATACGACATTGGAACTTCAGCATATCCTTACGCTCATCAACCATCTGGGCGTCAACTTTCCCCTCATCATATTAGCATCAGTCAACGAGTACTATGCGGCATTGGCAAAGCTGTGCCAATCGCAGCGTAGTCGAGAATGGCTAGAGCCAGTCTTTAGATCTATATCGGCACCTCTGAATACAGGCGCGGAACATGGTATGCAAAGCTGGCTTATAAGTTCATATCTCCTGGGCAAGAATAGTGTGGTGCTAACTCGATACCTCTTATAGAGTCAGAATCATACTCGGCCTTGGCACTACGATTTCTAACCACGGACAACCTCCATTTCTTTGAGCAAAACATTGATCATGTAGGCGACATGATCAATATGGAGAAGCTTGCGACAGAAATATTACGATTATATACTTATAAATCCGATAATTTGCCAGACAAGGATCATCTCCTCTGGCTCCTAGCCCATTATATTGACTTGAGCAGGGCGCAGAAAAATTCAAACCAGAATTTGATCAATCTAAAAGCCATTTTCACACAGCTATCTGCATTGTCGTCCGATATTAATATACGTATCAGCACACAGCCGTCCCCTGAGCAACTCAACGACGCAGCTGCCGAGTCCCTTATCTTCCCGTCAACATCATACATTACTCAACAGCTACTACGACTAGTTGACAGCAATGGCATTTCCAGCTTGCTACGTGACTTCTCTATTAGCCTGGCACAGTCTTCAAACCAAGAGCTGGAAGGTAGCGAGCTCCTTGCTGGCTATATCCTCTCTTTACTGCAAAGTTTCCCCACAAGAGCCGACGACACACGCATGAGGCTGTTCCTCGAAGAAATACCTACTGCAGGGGGCAATATCCCCATTGTCAAATATCTCTGGCAGATGATGACCAAAACCTCGATATTTCAAAAACTAAAGGCTGAGTCTGAGCGACCAGCGAGAGTGCTCCACAGATACTTTTATGAGACTGTATCTCGATCTTCTTCGGCTCACACAGAAGAACAAGAATGGAGAATCATCCTCTTGTTTTTAGAGCTTTATACCTTCATTCTTCGACTAAGCGATGATGAGGATTTCCTGAGCGGCATTTACCCTCAAGTTTTAAGCAGCGATGTTCCACAATCACGAACCCGATCATGCAGTTTGGCACTAAAAGACATTGAAGCGCTCATTATATTCCTCAAAAATACAGCGTTCGCTCTGCATTACAATGTTCAAGAAATCATCCAAACTCGGGCAGCTGTTGAGGCTTCAGCTACAGCCCGACTAAACTCCTACTGGGGAGACTCGTCGACAGTCTCAGATGGGCCCAAGGCCGCTAGCAAACCTCCAGCTTCGGAAGTATCTACAAAGCTCGATTTAGAGAGCCTTCGCGCAATAATCACCACTTCGTTGAAGATGCTTTACGAAAGAGACTCGCGGAAGCATTTCTTGTCAGCAGATCACTGGCTCATGACGGGCAAACTGGAAAAGGAGGATTTTGTTGGAGCTGTCATAGCGGAAGAAGAAAGACAGATCCAGGAGCAGGCAGAGGATAGCGACGCAGAGGCAGACGACGCTATATCTCCATTCGATGACGGTTTTGGATCGCATGCAACTTTTGCTGCGCAGCGGCTTTCTCGCCACGTCAGATTGGAAAGGCTCAAGGCCCGCCAGATTCGCGCTCAGAGGGAACGAAGACTTGCGGAAATGGGACCCAAATTGGAAATTCTCAAGCATATTCCGTTTGTTGTTCCGTTTGAGACACGAGTTATGATATTCAGATCCTTCATCAACCTCGACAGACTTCGTAGAAGTGGCAATAGCACATTCCCGATGCCTCCCTTGGGAAGACACCATGCGAAAATCCGTCGCGGTCAGCTATTTGAGGATGCCTACGAGCAGTTTTATCAGCTGGGAGAGGGTTTAAAAGACCCTATTCAGATTACCTTTGTTGACCAGTTCGATACCCCTGAGGCGGGTATAGATGGTGGTGGCGTTACAAAAGAATTCTTAACCAGCGTTACATCAGAAGCTTTTGCAAACCAGCTTGGAGGCCTGGGTATGTTTACATCTAGTGATAAAGGGCTACTATATCCTAATCCCATGGCTCTGGATATACTTCGCGAGTCACTGCGACAACAAGGGCTCACCGAGTCTGATCACGAGTGGAGGGAAACAATATCCGAGTTATTCAAACGTTATGAATTTCTTGGCCGTATTGTAGGAAAGTGTATGTATGAAGGGATCCTTGTTGACCTTGCATTTGCCGGGTTTTTCCTTCTGAAATGGCCATCACCAAATCGAAAAGAAGAGAACAGCTACAAAGGTAGTGTCAACGATCTCCAAGACATGGACGAGGAACTATACAAGGGTCTCCTTAACCTCAAGAATTACCCGGGAGACGTATCTGCCCTGGGGTTCGACTTTACCATCACGGACCAGGTGTCAGCTCCAGGGGAGCCTGTCAAGACTGTTAGCAGAAAGCTGGTGCCCAACGGTGATGAGGTACCAGTTACAAACGACAATCGCCTGCTATACATATCCTACGCAGCTCGTCATCGCTTAGTCCTGCAGCCGGCTCCTCAGACCATGGCCTTTCTGCGCGGGCTTCGCGAAATCATTAGACCTTCATGGCTGTCTATGTTTAACCAATCTGAGCTACAGCGTCTGGTTGGCGGTGACTCTATGGAGATTGATGTCGAGGACTTACGCCGAAACACAGTCTATAGCGGTCTTTACGCTGTGGGTGATGATGGAGAGGAGCACCCCACAATTAAAATGTTCTGGAACGTCATGAACGGCTTCACAGACGCTCAAAGGCGCGACGTTCTCAAGTATGTCAGCTCAACGCCGAGAGCACCGCTTCTTGGCTTTGCACAGCTGAATCCAAAGTTTGCCATTCGGGATGGTGGCTCGGACCAAGAACGACTGCCGAGCACTAGTACGTGTGTTAATTTGCTAAAGCTACCGGTTTATAAGTCAGAATCAACTTTACGAACGAAACTACTGTACGCGATATCGTCAGGGGCTGGGTTTGATTTGAGTTAGAGTTTAAAGCGTGGTTAGCAGGATAGACAAGGAATAACACATGTAGGGATAAATGCAAGGAGTTGGAGTATAATGCTAAATTTGAAAACACTAATTTTCCTTCGAGACATTTTGTGCTCTGCATACGGCCCTGTGAGATGACAATGGATGTGTATCCCTTGACACGACATGTTAATATCCAGTGACTTTCGCATGGCTACGTCTGTTGCTAGGGTCCCTACGTCATTTAGGCGCTGTCAACGTGACGCTGACGACGGTGTCTCAGTTGATGAGCGTTGGACAAAAGCTACTGAGCCCGGGATGGGAGGTCAGCATATACCCTTATGATGTCATATGATGCTTGCACCCGGATCCTTAGCTGTCTTGTGCGTTGTTGTTTCCAGTGCACCGTCATGATAAGACTACAGGTATGAAAACAGGCTTTCCACTTGGTTTCACGAGATAGATGTGAGACAAGATGAATCTTCCCATGGCAAAGGTGCTTATTGCTTACATGTGTTTATAGGTAGAGCCAGAGTCCATCTACGGCTTGAGCTACCCCTACCCTGCACCTCGGCGTGATTAGGTTTATTTCTACAGTCACCGTGCGTATACAGACCTGGTTTGCTAGACTAGAACAGGATATTAAATCTTCCATATTCCGCATATCTCGTGATAAGTCAGTTCCTTTCGGCTTGGAGAAAATGTTCCGGTAGACATTACAGATGGTCCTGTTACGGACCGCGGCTAAGAGGGCGGGCCGCCTTACCGTGGCATAGCCTACTCGGAGAAGCGTCCCCGGTAATAGAAGTCCGTAGTACGGAGCATGACGAGGTGCTATAGACACCCAAACAGCGCAGGCAAAAGAATCTCTCGCACGAGGAATGGCACATGCTCAGGCTGTCTTGTAAGCTTATTGCGTCTGACGCTGCAGTTACGTGCCTTGCCTCAGGCAGCCGCAGGATTACGGGTCTTGAGCCGCTTATATACATGTAGAATGCCGCCGATATCGAAGCAGGCATTGCCCAAGGCGGCCTTGTATGCGCGCCTACGAAAGGACCAAGTGTCTGCGGCATCGGCGAGCTTTTTGAAGAATGCTTGGGGCTCTAGATTTTGCTTCAAGAATTGTAGACGGCACGCAAGCAGAATTGGTGTTTCTCTGCTGCGGTTATTTGAGGCTTGGGAGAGGAAGAGAGTGTGTGGGAAAGGGAACCTTGAAGCTACTTTATGAGCCGAGCTTAGCCACCACTTACAGAGCGTGTAGTCCCACGGCACAAGGTAGCCTGCAAGTACAGCGTCTCCCCGGTTGCGATCGGCTATAGAAACCCGGGGGACCTTGGCAGCCAATCGCCGCGCAGGCAATAATAATAGCAGTAGCTCGGGCCCTTGACGTCGATGCCGCTTTTCTTTTTCGTTCTACTCCAGCCCTTTTGCTCTCGCCAATTGCCTCTCCACCTTCTCGGGCCTATCTCCATTTGGAGCTGCGGTTGGAACTCTAGAAACAAAAGGGTTCAGCACACACAATGCCGGCGCCCGCGCCCGTATCAAGATGCGCCCTGCGCGGCACCCGGGCGATGTCCAGATGTCGGCCAGCAAGGTTCCTCGGCGCCGTGGCAGCCACGCGGAGAGCTCCGCTGATGGTCCGGCCGGCGATGGGCTCGTCAATTGCTGCCGTCAGGCCCTTCAGCACGTCTATGCGGCTGCGCATGGCCGCCGAGGAGGACTCGCTCGACCCCTTGAGCATTGAGCGTGAGTCAGACGAGGTCGACGTCTGCATCATCGGCGCCGGCCCCGCGGGGCTCAGCGCGGCCATCCGCCTGAAGCAGCTGGCCAACGAGGCGGGCAACGAGGACTTCCGCGTGCTGGTGCTGGAAAAGGCCGGCGAGGTGGGCGCGCACATCCTGTCTGGCGCCGTCATCCAGCCCTCTGCCATCAACGAGCTCATCCCCGACTGGCTCGACGAATCGAACCCCAACCGCTTTGAACATGCGACGCCCGCCGGCAAGGACAAGATGCGCTTCCTGACCAAGACGGCCGCGATCCCGATTCCCATGCCGCCTCAGATGAACAACCACGGAAACTACATTGTCAGCTTGAACCAGTTTGTCAAGTGGCTCGGCGAGCGGGCGGAGGAGGTTGGCGTTGAGCTGTACCCTGGCTTTGCCGCCTCCGAGGTTCTCTACAATGCCGACGGGTCGGTCAAGGGCGTTGCTACAAACGACTTGGGAATTGGGCGAGATGGAAAGCCAAAGGATTCCTTTGAGCGCGGCATGGAATTCCATGCGAGAGTCACAATGTTTGGCGAAGGTTGCCACGGCAGCTTGAGCAAGAAGGTCATCAACAAGTTTGACCTACGACGAGACAGCCAGCACCAGACATACGGCCTGGGTGTCAAGGAGGTGTGGGAGATTGACCCTGCAAAGTTTGAAAAGGGCTTGATTGTGCACAGCATGGGCTATCCCCTGCCGAAGGATGTATACGGCGGTTCTTTCATGTATCACTTTGGCGAGAACCTGGTCAGCTTGGGCTTGGTTGTGTCGCTGGACTACGAAAACCCTTGGCTCTCGCCATACCAGGAGTTCCAGAAGATGAAGCAGCACCCTCTCTTCAAGAACGTCCTCGAGGGCGGCAAATGCATTTCATACGGTGCTCGAGCTCTCGTCGAAGGTGGATTCCAGAGTATACCCAAAGTTGCCTTCCCCGGCGGTGCCCTCATCGGAGACACGGCCGGCTTCGTCAACGTGCCCAAGGTCAAGGGCACGCACAACGCCATGAAGTCGGGCATGCTGGCCGCAGAGGCTGCCTGGAACGCCCTCAAGGAGCCCAGCGAGGGCACCGTCTTCCTGTACGACTACGAGGACTCACTGCGCAAGTCGGCCATCTGGAAGGAGCTCAAGGAGGTGCGCAACATGCGGCCGTCGTGGCACAACCCGCTCGGCGTCTACGGCGGCGTGGTCTACTCGGGCCTCGAGGCGTACGTCTTCAAGGGCCACGTTCCCTGGACGCTCAAGCACGGCAAGCCGGACTATGCGTCGACCAAGCCCGCCGACCAATTCCCCAAGATTGAGTACGAAAAGCCCGACGGCAAGATCAGCTTTGACATCCTGACGAGCGTTTCGCGGACCGGCACCAACCACGAGGAGGACCAGCCTGTGCACTTACAGGTCCAGGACTGGGATGCCCATACGGACAAGGCTTACCCGCCGTTCAAGGGCGTGGAGAACCGTTTCTGCCCGGCCGGCGTGTACGAGTATGTCGAGGACGAGTCAAAACCCCACGGCGTGCGGTTCCAGATCAATGCACAAAAGTGAGTAGCACCACCTCCCCCATATCCCTCTTCATCGAGTGACTAACATAAAAAAACAGCTGCATTCACTGCAAGACATGTGATATCAAAGCTCCCCAGCAGGACATCAACTGGCAGGTACCACAGGGAGGCGAAGGCCCCAAGTACTACATGACATAAAAGAGAGGGGGGGGGGGCAGCAGATAAGCGACGTCGAGAGAATTCACACAAATTTGTATTGATATGTATGTAAATAAATGATTGTATGTTAATGTAAGTAAAAATCTCGTTAGGATGGGAACAAGCACCGCCTTGATTAAAAAAAAAAAAGAACAAAGTTTATATAACAGGGTGGTTGGGGCTTGAGATCTAGAATTTCCCCACGCCAATCATGTAGGTTTATCTGAGGAGAGATCACAAGGGCTTATACAGATTCGGATTTCGGAAAGGAAAAAAAAAAAAAAAAACCAAACCAAGTTTTTTTCCTTCGAACCAGGCCTTAAACAAGAAAGCTTAGCCCGCTCGCTTTTAACACCGGCTTACTACGGTAGTCCAAGTTTGGTGGGCTTTTTAATAGCGGGTGGCCCTACTTCTAGGTTTTTGCATTAGGCTTCTTTTCGGAGTGGGCTGGCGACGCATTTTTGCATGTGTCAAGTACCCCAGAGGTTAGCGCTCACCGGGCAGCACCTCAACATGGAATAGGGCGTTTACTTCAATGTGTCTAACAGCTGGCCGAGGCTGGGAGAGAGGAGCCGATACGTGCAGTGAGGGCAATGATAGATCTCTCACCGAGTATTCTGGAGAAAATGTTATATGTGACAATTTGGTGATTTACTGCCCTCTGTCGCGCGTCTCTTATTAAAGGGTGAATACTTGTGACTAAAAAGTGAAAGGATTTGATTAAATGCAGAGGATCAATGCAGACACAGCCCATGCAACAGAGGGTAGCACCAAGTACAGTAAAACTTGTTCTCTTGTCTTGATGAAAAACAAGTAGGAAGCCACTTTGTTTGCTCCCCTTGATGCGCTGCTTTCCCAAAGGAATTCACTGCACATTCTTCCGTTGCATTTCAAGGCTGCACAGAATGCCGTTGGCCGTGAAACATTGAGATTCCTCTTGGTTTTCGCTCCGGCGCTGCTGCGGCTGGTTCCCAAACGGGCCACGGGGGCTCGCACTCGGTAAGCCTGATGCTTGTTACAGAGGCCAGACAGCAATACGGTGCTACTGCTACAAGGGACCGTTCAGCTCCCCGGCTGCTGATCGTCGCCTGGCTGAGTTGCGCAGATGAACGATACGAGCAGTGCTAGCTTGGGAGACCAGTAGATAATCAATACTACCCAACATCGCGGATGGAAAAATTTTCTGCGTCAGGTTCCCTTCTACGCGCTTCTGCGTGGGCCACCTAGAATTTTTACGCGGTTGATGCGACTACTGGGACAAAAACCAATGGCTACACCAACAACGGCTGGGGCTGGCGAGAACGCAAATTTTTTCTGGATCCAAGGCGGGCAGCGTATCCAGTTCTGGCAGCGATGCGGCGCTAGGGGGCAAAGGTGTAACGTGGAATTTTTCAGAGCAGAGGACGCTGCTGGGGGTCACCGGGTTGGAAAATTGTTAGTGAGGTACTTTGTGCGAGCCCGAAGCAAATCCTGGCTCCTGCTCGCCAGGTAGCGGGTACAAGGCGATCGCCAGCTCCCAATTTCCCGTGATTGCGCCGGTGCAACCTGCGGGACTCGGCTTATCTGGCATTGATGAGACATGCAGCAGCACTGGCTCTGGGTCTTATCTCGCTTAGCCGCAAGATTGTGTGAATCGGTGTTCTGCGACCTCTTGCTTTGTGGCGGGCATTTTTCTGCGGATGCGCTGCTTCAGCGGCCAGATGCCACTTACCTGGAGCCGTTGGGCAAGGGCACAGCGATGCTAATATATTGCGGTGATGAACAGCGCCAGCCCAGCGTGTACCCAGTACTTGGCGCCGAGGAGCCACTCACAAGGCCGCAAGCAGCAGTGGATGCGGCTCCTGGGATGGTTGGCTCAGAGTCAATGACTCACTAACGCCAGGATGCGCCTTGTGCCATTTTTGCCTCCTCCAAAGCCGGACCTTGCCCACACGGCTGTGGCAGAAAATTCTGCTGTGTGCGGCGAAGCGTGCGACGCGACTCGTAATCGGTTCCATCGGCCAGACGCATCCTAGACACACGGCAGCGGCGCGACATAAGCAACGGTGCGCATCGCAGTGCATCGCTTGGCGCTTCGCCTGCCGCTGAGACGATGCTGAGACGCAAAAGCCGTGAGCAGCCCGTCCTTGGGCTTCGCAGCCACGGGCAGCAGAGCGCCGCGTGTTTCAAGGCTCGTCCTGTTTTCCATGGTGTGGCCGCTGGACGACGTGGTTCAGTGGGTGAGGGGGGCGGCGAAGACGCAATTTCAGGGAGTGGTTGGTGGATAAGCCTCATCAAAAGGGGGGAGAGGGGGCGAATGGGCGCGACGCGACCAACCCTGGGCTCCACTGCCAGCCCCGTCCAACCTGCCTGGGGCTGATTTGATGGTCGCTCGCCCCAGCAACCGCCAGCAGGAGAGTCAAGCGAATTTCCCCGTCATCCCGACATTCGCCATCCGCGCAAAATCGACGCTGCTCCTAGTGAAAGGGCGGCGTTGCGACAGACTGCGCGGCCAGACGCAGCGGACGGGGCCGAATGGCTCGCTCTGTGCTGTCTGTCGCTCTGCCATCAGCAGCTGGCCTCTCCTCGCGTAAACGGGTCGTGCAGCTGCTGCACGCATGGGCGAGCGAGTGGTGGTGAGGCGCCGGCGCGGCCATGGATTGCGTGCATGCGAGCAAATGAAATCAAACCAAGTGAGAAGCCCAGAAAACTGCAGCTGTGTCTGCACGTTGGGATGCAGGCAGAAGGAAGTGGAAGAAAGAAGAAAGGAAAAGGAAGTGAAAGCGAAGTGAAAGCGTTCAAAAGGCGTGTTCTCAGGAAAAGCCCTGGCGCTGCTGCAGCACCGTGACCGCCAGCTCAGCCCCCCTGCCGCCTGCGCTGTACCCCCCCGTTATTCCTGGTGCCACAGCGCTGGTACCGCGAGGTTCTGCATGCTACCGCGATACTTCAGGGGGCCTTGTGAGCCTGTGGTGGGCAAAGGAGATAAAAGCTCAGTGGCGCGCGGCGCTGATTGGCCGCTGTTGCAGCTAGTGCATGCGCTACGCTGAGCTCGGGTCTGCCAAAAGCGACGCCACAGGTGGTGTTGTTGCCTGGGAGCCCTGCCTGGGCCTTCCGGAGCGAGAATTATAAGTACCCAGCCCTCCCCCATCCGCTGTTTTTTGTTGTTCTTGCGAGGAAGTCCCGACCGGCGACCCTGCGTACCTCCCATATACGTTCGGCGCTCTCATTAATATTTTCTCCCCTCCAACGACGTCACGCCCCACTTTGCAGCCTCCAAGGCCTCGCTTGTCACTTTTTTCTTTTCGCTCTACTCTCACGCTCTCTTCCTTCATCGGACGCCTCAGACGCCCGCGCCTCATCGCCCGCATCTGCAAGACCCGTTCTTTGAACAGCCTCTCCCTAATCCCAGCGTCACGGAGATTTGGAGCAGAAGAAGAAAGAAGCAAGCCTGCTCTATTTTTTTTTTTTTTACTAGGTCGCTCGGCGTCGACGTCCCTGCGATCAGGCAATAACAGAACTGGAACACGTTCCTTACGCCGTCGCTCCCTCTTTTTATTAATTCACGGGTGCAATCGATCTCACCGACGAAGACTTCTCAAGCGATACAAAGTACTGCCCGTCGTCGTCGCCCATCGAGTCGTTTGCCTCGTTCTGTAGAACGCAATTTAAAAAAGAAATAACCCTCAAAAAAATTGCTTTGAAGTGAAGACAAAGGCCTTTTCGAGTCTTTGCCCCGTTGGACGAACGCTTTTTATAGAGACTCGACCTCCATTCTCTCACCATATTCTACCCATCTTGCGGTTTGCATCCAGCATTCGCAAGACCTCCAATAGCTGCTTGAGCAGTATTTCTGTAGGGGAGACATTCACTTGTTCATCTCCCGCATTAGGTAGGTGGCAACTTTTTCAGTCTTCCCTCACTATCCATTCACCGCATCGCGCTGCTGTGGCAAACACACGTGTTGCCAACTGGCAGTGCAGCAACCACATCATAACAAAAGCCCGATTTCTTTTCTGCCCATTCAACTTCCTCTTTTCATCTCGCATTCTGCCTGTGCAGCACAATAATTTACTATTGTGCCAATCAGCAGTTTCAACACCCTTGCTTTCCACTCTTATTTATCCGTTCATCATCTCGATGCATCCTCAGCCATCAGCATATACAAGCGGCTAATCTTGAATCTTATCTCCAATCAGATCTGCTCAGTGTCAAGGTTGCAACCTCGCCGCAGACTCCGATTATCTGGTCTACAGTCCCAATCATGGAGGGCATTCAAACGCATCCGGCCAACGCCGCTCAGGCTAAGGCCTTTACCGCGCCTGGCTCGCTGTCGTTTCCTGGCGCATCAAACGAGCTCACGCCTCCCTTAGCAAACGGCGATGGCAGCCAGCGAATGGCTCCCAACGGTCAACAGGCTGCGAATGGGAACGGGGTGACTCCTGCAACTCCCGCCGCAACGCCTGCAGCCTCTCAAGGCCCCAGTGGCATTACGCCCACCTTGCAGTATGTATCTTCTTGAGTACCTTTGGCTGTGCTCTTTGAGACTTATCTCCCAATCAAAGGAACATCGTCGCTACAGTCAACCTCGACTGCCGATTGGACCTGAAGACGATTGCTCTGCACGCCAGAAACGCCGAATACAACCCAAAGGTGAATACTTGAATGGCAACTCAGCGGGGAGGGGATTTGTTACTGGTCATGCATCAGTGCTAACAAACACCGTGCAGCGTTTTGCCGCCGTCATCATGCGTATTCGTGAGCCCAAGACAACTGCCCTCATCTTCGCATCCGGCAAGATGGTTGTTACTGGCGCCAAGTCTGAGGATGACTCCAAGCTAGCCTCTCGCAAATATGCCCGTATCATCCAGAAGCTCGGCTTCAACGCCAAGTTTACGGATTTCAAGATCCAAAACATTGTCGGCTCCTGTGATATCAAGTTCCCCATCCGTCTCGAAGGTCTTGCTTCTCGCCACCACAACTTTAGCTCTTACGAGCCTGAGTTGTTCCCCGGTCTGATTTATCGCATGATCAAGCCCAAGATTGTGCTACTCATTTTCGTATCTGGCAAGATTGTCTTGACAGGTGCCAAAGTGAGAGAAGAGATTTATCAGGCTTTTGAGATGATCTACCCTGTGCTTCAAGGTTTGTCTACACCACAGCACCAATACATTGATATCAAGGTTGCTAATTCGTGCCATCAGATTTCCGGAAAGTCTAATGCACTTACGGGTATGGTCAAGAGATTTTACATCTCGTGTACCACTACTTTACCTAATTACCCTTAAAAAAACAACCGACGTATATGACTAGACCTTTCTACAGGTCATGATACCACGACTACTCCATAGGACGTCGTTTGCCCCTGGGGCTTGGTAGGACACAGCCAAGTTCATGAGTGGGGTGCCCGCCTGTACCATTTGATTTCTGCTTGCATTGCATTGGCGTTGGCAAAGGGGTGGAAGGCCAGGAAGAGGTTTTTTTTTTGCGATTTTTTACTTTTCTTTACGATGGATCTGGTTCACGGCAAAAAAGAACAAAGACTACCCATCCCGCGACACAAACATAGATTGCTCGTGGCTCGTTTTCAGACTGCTATGTCAGTCTCTTACGGCCTTTTTTAATGCTTTCCAAGGGGGAATAAGTCAAGTTGAAAGTGGATCGAAAGAAAGTTGCTGAACAGGTGGAGCAGCCAAGAGATGATGGTCGATTGGTTGGCTGGCGATGAAAATGAACAGTTTCCCATTACTGCGTATTGGGGACTGAACAAGTTATGAGGACATCTTACGCCCTTTGGGGGACGATATGGTTAGCACATGCGCCTTTTGGCCTTAGTACAGGGCGTAACTGTTACAAAAGCCCATGGTCTTTTGCAGTTAGCATTATCAGAAGAATGCTTGATTCTGTCCTCTAATAATGGGCTGTGGCCTGATCTCACCTGCATTTGCGTGTCGATGTGATTCCATGTTGTTCTCTCCGTTGACATTTTTTGTGGAGAGTAGGCTTGGTGCAAACAGCTTGTTGCTATGTACTCCGTAGTCAGTTGCCAGGCTTGGTAAGCCTTTCCCGATCGTCGGACGTCTCCACGGTCGAGCCCCCTCACTAGACAAGCGTTGCATGGAGCTCCAGCAACGAACGATAAGGTAGCCGATTGTATGCGTGACTGAATAAATACAGTCGGAAGGGCTGCGCTTGCGCAAACGAAAGACACTCATATTCCAGCCGCTCAACTTTCAAATGGCCCACATGGAACACCCTCCTCGATCCATTCTCATCGTCGGTTCTGGTGTGTATGCTCTGTCCACGGCGTGGGCGCTCACCAAGAGGCCGTCTTATGGCAAGACTACCATCACCATAGTGGACGACGTGCGTGGAGGGACGTTTCCACCGGGAGATGCCGCTAGTGTAGACTCATCAAGAATTATCCGAGCCGATTATGCAGACCCGGACTATGCTGAATTGGCGGCTCTCGCACAAGAGGAGTGGCGTAAACAAGGCGATGATGAACTCGGTGGCCAGGGACGATACACCGAGTCTGGACTATTCCTGGCGGCGAATGAGTCGACGGAGCCAAAGATGTTGGGCATGGGGTACACCAAGTCCAGCTGGGAAAACGCAATGAATATTGCAAAGAAGAGCGAGCTGGCCCACAAAGTTCGACACATGGAGAGTGCCGAAGCGCTGCAGGACTTCCTGGGCGTTGAAGGGCATCCTGGTGATTGGGGCTATGTGAATGAGCTTTCCGGATGGGCGAATGCCGGCGAGGGAATGAGATGGATGTATGGCCGGGTCAAGGCCACAGGCAGAGTCAACTTTGTGGATGGACGAGTAGAGGAGCTCGTCACCGAGGGCAAGAGAGTTGTTGGCGCACGACTGAGCGACTCCCAGGTCCTGACGGCGGAAGTTGTCTTTGTTGCTGCAGGAGCGTGGACTGGCAGCCTGATCGACCTGCGAGGACGCGTAGAGGCCACGGCCCAGCCCTTGGGCTACATCGATGTCTCACAGGAGGAATTCGAGGTGTTGGCCAAGCAGCCTGTAGCGCTGAATCTGAGCACCGGCTTCTTCATCATTCCACCGCAGACTCGCGTTTTGAAAGTTGCGAGACATTCGTTTGGATACCTCAATCCGGTGCTGGTCGAGAGGGCGCTGCCCCTTTCGCCCTCGGAAGAGCGCAGGTCAATCGTCGTGTCGAAACCACTAACACAGCGTGATGGCGACAGCAGCAGCGGCAGCACCAACGTGCTGCCACCGGATGCGGATCAGGCGCTGCGCCAGGCCCTGAAAGACCTGTCGCCCATCAAAGGCCTCGAGGACCGGCCGTGGAAGGAAACAAGACTGTGCTGGTACGCGGACACGAGCGACGGCGACTTCCTGGCGGACTGGCATCCGGGCTGGGAAGGGCTGTTCGTGGCGACGGGCGACAGCGGACACGGATTCAAGTTCCTGCCCGTGCTGGGCGAGAAGCTGTTGGACTGCATGGCAGGGAACGGCGGCAAGCTTGGCGAGAAGTGGAAGTGGAAGAGGGAGGCAGCAGAGGGCGCGGGCAGAGAGATTGACGGGAGGTTCAAGGGGCTGGTGACGATGGACGGGAGCAGGGGCGGGAGTCCAGGGATGATATTGCGAGAGGAACTGAGCAAGGCGAGATGAGCCGCCGGCCATGTGATGTGACGACATCCGGCATGTCCGGGGCTGTGCGGTTAGTAATGAGGTTGTTTGTGGCGGGAGAAATATAAATATGTAGGGTAGGTAGAGGATAGAGCATCTGGTTTAGTAAACAGTGCTGAAGACGAAATTATTTGTGGTCTTTGTTAATTTTGGCGTCTGGGTGTGTAATTCAGAGCTTGCTCTTCCCAGATTGGCTGGGAGGATTATGCTAGTACCGGGGCTTATCTCTGTGAGCCACTGGGTGCTTGGCTTATCGATAGCCTGATATGGCACTCCCTTCGTAGACCAAGATACGTACCTACCTGCACTGCACGACTTTAATGTCAAGGCACGCTTTAGTTGGTTGCTACCGTTCAGCTGCCTCGCACGGCTGAGCCAGGCCTTTATTCAACCGTGATACCTTCTGTCATGGGCCAGCGTTCCTCTCCATAATCCTCGTAATATCGACGCGCGATGTCATCGTCCAGGAATCCCGGCGACGCTCCTCGGATGGAGTCCAAATTCCAAAAAACCACCAAGCCGTCCGTGTTCGAGAAGCAAAAGGCCGAAGCCGAAGCCAAGCGCAAGCGAGAAGCTGCAGAGACCGCGGCCGTCTACGAAGATTTTGTCAAGAGCTTCGATCACGATGGCGACGAAGACGGAGAACGCAATGCCGCGCCGCAGAACAACCGCCGACCTGGATTTGGCACTCTTGGGGGTCCGCCGCCGCCGCCCTCTGGACCCGGGGGAGCCTCGCGACGGCATTTTGGCACATCGTCGGGGATGAAGAGCGGGCCGGGGAGCTTGGGGATGCCGCCCATGCCGTTTGCTAAGAAGCGCTCGTTCAAGGATTTCTCCAAGGAGCCGGAGGGCAGGGCGACGCTAAAGTTTGAGGATCAGAGCGACGACGAGGAGATGGTTGATCGCGCTGAGGAAAAGGCCATAGCTAGGCCGACTCTACGGCTGTCGAATCTTCCTCCGGGGATATCACCCGCAACAATCAAGTCGCTACTACCTACCAATCTTACGGTCGAGCATGTCAAGATACAGCCTCCAGCTGGCCCGGGAGGAACCGAGAGAAAATGCACGGTTGCCATTGTGACGCTGTCCAAAGAGACACCCGCCACTGACATGGATGCTGCAGTAAGCGCGCTGCAGAATAGGTACATGGGATACGGCTACTATCTATCCCTCCACCGTCATCTTTCCTCAGCTGTCAGCAACTCTGCACTGTCGGGCTTGGCTTCTTCTACTTCGGCATCTCAGCCTTTTGGAGCCAAACCGGTGGAACAAGAGTCTGCGGGTGGCCATGGCGATCACTCGCGCCATGGATTCCAAAGAGGATTCGCTCCGCCAACTTCATACTCCCATGGACCTGGATCTGTAAATCGGTCTTCGCTATTACATGTGCCAGTCAAACCACCTTCAGACATTCGAATGATTCGGATGATCAACAAGGTCATTGAAGGTGTCCTTGAGCACGGCCCTGATTTTGAAGCCTTACTTATGTCACGCGCTTCAGTGCAACGAGAAGAAAAATGGGCGTGGATATGGGATGCAAGGAGTCAAGGCGGTGTTTGGTATCGATGGATGCTTTGGGGAGTGATTACTGGATCACATCTACAGCAGAAGAAAAAGGGCAGATTCATTCCGCTCTTTGAAGGAGGCCATGCGTGGAAAACACCCGAAACAGGTCTTCGTTTCGAATACACCACCAAGCTGGATGAGTTCGTCTCAGACTCGGAGTATGATTCTTCAGAGGATGAGGACTTTGATGGAGATGCGAACCGAGAGGGTGGTCCGACTGGTGACGAGGGCAAGGCGTTTCTCAACCCACTGGAAAAGGCCAAACTGGTGCATCTTCTGTCTCGCTTGCCTACTTCCATTGGAAAAGTGCGCAAGGGGGATATCGCACGGGTAACGGCTTTTGCAATTACGCATGTTAGTCGTGGTGCTGACGAAGTTGTGGACTTGATTGTCTCCAATGTTGAACAGCCTCTAGCCTTGGCCATTACCAATGCCGAGAAGGGCAAAGATGGCAAGGGGGAGCAACAAGCAGCAGGAGCAGAAGAAAGCACGGCAAATGAAAATACGGATGCAAGCGCAGCGACTTTGGTTGGCCTATACGTGGTCAGCGATATCTTGTCATCGTCCTCTACGAGCAGCGTTCGACACGCGTGGCGTTACCGGCAACTCCTCGAGACGGCTCTGCGCAACAGAAAGGTTTTTGAACGTCTGGGACTGATGGCGGAAAAGCAGGGCTGGGGTCGAATGCGTGCAGAAAAGTGGAAGCGAAGTGTTACTCTTGTTCTGAACTTGTGGGAAGGGTGGTGTGTCTTTCCGGTAGAGAGCCATGCAATGTTTGTAAGCGCATTTGAGAACCCGCCATCTCTGAAAGCACAAGACAAGCTGGATGAATCTGCCAAGAAGGGCAAATGGAAGGTCGTCGAAGCCAATTCTATAACTGCAACGTCTGAGGATGCTGCTGCTGCTGATACCTCGGCTAAGGAGGGCGATGCAGTTGGAGAGCCGATACGAGAAGAGGAAGAAGCAATAGGAGAGCCTATAGAAGAAGACGATCTTGACGGCGAGCCCCTCGCGGAGGATGATCTGGATGGAGAGCCAATTGAGGATGATGACGATGTAGATGGTGAACCAATGGACGAGGACGAGGATGAAGATGAAGTCAAGGGCGGCGATCCTGAGCAACAAGGGACCGACGATACTAAGGCTACTACGAATACAACAAACGACACAGAAACGCTTCCAGCGGGCCGTGGCCAGCCCAAGAGACGAATGCGAGCGGCCGATATGTTTGCCGATTCTGATAACTCAGATGGGAATTAGTTTGGGTCAGCCTAGCAGCGACATTTGCTTTAATTTTTGGGATGGCGTGGAGTCCGAGTTTCGAGATATACAACCCAAGGCACTACAATTACATGCGGAGTACCTACATGATACAGAGTAATGAAGTACATAATATGATATAGAACATTTCAACAAATTAAGAAGAGAGCAGGACATGATACGGCATTAGCGGAGTTATGAGTAACTACAGCCCCTCACGCCTGTGTTTATGATGACTGATATTTTCTCTTTTTCTTTTCCCTTGCAGAACGGATAGCCTATTCAGCGCTTCTTTTGTTGATCAATACCCGCTCTCTGCCTTATACTAGAGCTTATTAGGAATGGATGCGTTGAAGCTGGGAATAACGGAGTAAGTGAATACCCACGGAATAAAGATAAATCGTGAAATAGCCGTCGCGATTCAGCATTAGTAATAACGATAAAAAGGCACAGGGCAGAGAACGATCTTGTCCCCGACGGGGAGCCACGCGCGCGCCTAGGGTCAGTTGAGTAGAAAGAAGGCACATGGAGTTTTGAGCCACAAAGTGCCGAGTGGCATTACTAGATATAGATAGTAGACCAAAAGACCGGCCCTTTTGGCAAGGCGGGCGCTGGCCAGACAGCCAATAAAAACTTGCTCATCAAGGTGCGGGACGGACGAACGTTTGGGCATGGCATGGATTAGAAGAGTTGGAAAAAAGAGAAAGTGTCTGTGTGGTGGTGAGATTGTCCCCCCGTCCGAGCTTTACTTTAACTGGGCAATACGGGCTGATGGGCAAGATGTGAGCGATTCAGTTCACTGCGACTCTGTTCCTTTTTTTTTTTTCTTCTACGGCTGCCCGATGCATGTCCCGCATGCATGTTTGACACCAGGTCCTTCCTTCCGGGAGAAATGTTTAGAGTCGCACGGCTCCGAAAGTCAGTTTTTTTCGGGGCTCGGAGGCGGGATTGGATGGGGCTGGTGTCGGCGACGACGGGAGTGTCTTGCGTGGTATTTTGGAATTTGTAGGGCCGAGGATGGCAGGCGAGTGACCCTTTTTTTTTTTTTTTTTCTTCTTGCTTGTTCAGGTAGAGAGAAAGAGTGTGCGAGAGAGAGAGATTGTTGGCTGCGGGATGTTACCTCGGATGACATGCAATCTACAGGTACTACAAAAGGTACTGCACTGCATTGCTGCTTCTGACCGTGTCGATTGATTGCGCCATCCGGAAAGGCCTGGGGCCGGCGATGGCATTGACTAATTTCTACCTGTATGTAAGGGCTGGGCGTTCCGCTAATATGTAAGATGCAAAGCTGCGAAGCTGGACACCTATTTCCTTTGCTCTTGGCTTTCCGGCATAACTGGCTTATTCAATCCATGCCATTATTAGATCAATGGTAAGTAGCTGGGGAGGGGCTCAAGATTTGTGGCACAATAAGGCATGGTGCCATTGTCGGCGGTTACGGCGCGTGGCGTGGATGGCGCTGTGTGAGGCCAAGGTGAGGGTGGCTTGACAATGTCCAAGTTCTGCTCTGCGTCGATCCTGTACGGTACGATAATGTAGGAGTGTTGGAGGCATCAAGTCGAGGTCAGACGCCGGAAGCAGCCACGTTCACTTTGCCCTGATGGTCTGTTCAATTCAACGACACCTCGTGGCCGCGGAATGGCCAAAATGTTTCGTTTGATGCTGGAATGTTTCACTGCCCCTTGCTAGCGCGCACAGGCTTCTGTAAATCGCGGTCGCTAGCAGTGGGTGCTCACTAATGCCGTCCGCTATTAGAGCAGCTGCTAGGCTCCCCTGCCCTTGGCTGGACTGCTGCCCCCGCACGCGGCAATGCGAAAATGAAACAAAAGTCACAGGCTCCTAGGCCCGCTAAGCCCTCTGCGCAGCTTTGACGCCGCCGTAGTAAGAAGGGTCCTTTTTTTTTTCTCTTTCCAAGTCAAGGGATTCGGCTAACCGGGGTGACTCTTCAACTTTGCTCTCTACATCCTCTTTTTCGAAGTTTGAACGATTGGATCTTCTCCCCCGAAGCCATCAGAGACAACGGGTTTCAGTCGCTTAAGATGAATTGCTAGAAAGCGACAGTCTCTCCGCAACCAGCTTTGGATCTTGTACCGACCGGCTTTTGCTCGCTCTTTTTTGCGCTCCTCAAATCGCCGACCCAAGTGCTGCTTATCTTGCTCCTCCAGCCTCGACTTGGCAGTCGTTGGTTGAAATCGAAGAAAAAAGGATCCTACTCCCCTTGGCCCTGCATCGAATCTCTCCTCTCCCTTTGGCCCCCGCCAATCGCTTGAACCAACCGCTGGAAGGTGATTGTCGTATTTCAGTTTCAGCCCTCTCTACCGCGACGCCGAGCTGAAACACCCTCTTGGACGGGCGGAGCAATTAGTCTTCCCCCCCCTCTCTCTCTCGATCTACTACTGTTCCCAATCAATTCGAATCTTTCATGCTGCTTTGATTTCTTTGGCGTCTTGCGACTTACTCACGGCTTATTCTTACTGCTGCCAATTTATTTCAAAAGTGCTTGCTGCAGCGCGCTATTGCGATATCTACGGGATCCTATCCGACGCCGGGTGCGATCGGATACGTCGCCGCTGGTGCTGCGCTTGGCAATTGGCTGACGTGCACGTCTTTCTGAGATTCAATCCTTTACTCCAACACACAACTCCAAAACACTCCCAAAATGCCTTTAATAAATGGCGTGAAGATGGCCTGGTAAGTGCCCTGCTTCGACTCAACGTCCCATCGACAACGTCTGCCCTTTGTTCGTCGCTGACTGTCATTGTAGCGAGCCGTGCATCCGCGGCCATCGCTCCACGAAATGCACTCACGCCAATGAACGGCTCATGGTCCCCGTGCGCAAGCCGGGACGGCCGTTGAGCTCGTGTCCGCACCCTGCTTCAAAGTCGTGCACATGTGCTGCGCTCATGGCTGCCATCCCGAAGAGCCACAAGTGTCCCTGCGGCACCGCGGAGGAGGCAGCTGGCCGTAAGGCGGCCGCCGAGACGGCAGACCGGGAGCCGTCGAATGGAATGGTGACGCCCCCGAGCCCGGCACCAAAGGGAACCTCAGCTACACCGGCATACCGCGTACAAAAGGCCAATTCGAAGAATGGACCGGCTAAAAAGCAGATCGACCCCGCCAGCCTCGAAAGAATGGACGTCAACCAGTTGAACATACTCTCTTCCCCAGAACTGAAATCGCCAGTATCGCCGACCAATGGCAACATGCCCACGACGCCCATCACGGCCTTCCCCAGCTACGGAATGATGGGCTTTATCCCCAACGGCAACGCCTTTAACCCCAACCCAGCCATGTTTCCACTCTATCAGCAACTGGCATCGGCAAATCCAGCGGCTGGCCCCGCCGCGACCAAACCGATGGCACCCAATGGCCATGCCCTCGTGAATGGACACGCTGTCGTCGCAGCCAAGAGCTGCTGCGGCCCTGCGAAACCGACCTTGGCGCAGCCGAATGAACAACATGCACCTAAAGCGAACGGAACAAATGGCGTTGAAAAGCAGCCCAAGAGCTGCTGCTCATCCAAGGCAGAGAAATCAGAGACGAAGCCTCAAGAACGCATGCCTGCATCAGCAATAGCTCCTCAGGCCAACGGCATGGTGATGCCGCAGTTTACTAATGTGCCGATGGGTATGCCAAATGGCCTGTATCCTTACTTTGCCCAGCCTGCCATATTCGCGTACCCACCACAATACGGTTCCTATATGCAACCACTTCAGCCAGATCAGTGGAGACAGCTGATGACGGCACTGAGCTTTGGACAGCAGCAGCAACCAACAAACGGACAGCAGAATATTCCGTACAGCGCACCCGCTCCGGTACCCGCCGTACCCGCCCCATCGCAGCAATACCCGCAGACCAGCAACTCAGAAGCAGATTCTACATGGACGGCTCACCATTGCGGCTGCGGGGATGGTTGTCAGTGTATTGGCTGTGCCACACACCCGTATAACACAGCAACGCAAAATTACGTTCGATCTGCCTGGAACAGTATGGCGGAGGATTCGCCCAAGCGCCACAGACATTCCGATAGCGTCAGTACCCCCAGTATCAACGGCAGCTACGAGATGCCTACACCCTCGGGCCAATCGCCGATTGGCGGCTCGACACCTGTCATGGCCAAGATGGAAGAGACCGCCTCACCTTCAACGGCACACACGCCATCAGATGCCACCTCGACCCTCGGCGAAGAAATGACGTTGTCGGCAAATGACTTTTTCTTTGTTAGCTATCCGTTTGGCGACATTTGCGAGGGAGAGATGGCAAATTGTCCTTGTGGCGATGGTTGCCAGTGTATTGGCTGTGCCATACACGTCACTGTCCAACACGGCCCTTGAATCACGCAAACTCTTGAAAAAAAAAAAAAAAACCATAATTGAAGATCAAAGCCACAAGACCAGAGACGGTTTAATAACAAACGACGGTGCAAAGAACGACGATATACGAACTGATGGTACAGGGAACGGAAACGACGAGTCAAGAGACGATACAATATCGATCCAGGGCCGGAAAGACGATTGGATGGGGAAATTATATGAATAAAGAGGCTCTGCCGAGAACTGAAAAGTTCCTCGGACGTATTATAATTCTGCTTTTTGCTTATATAGATACCCGGCATGGTGGGAATAGTTCATAGAAGGCGGCCTTTAGAAGCACCTTGAGCGATGTGTGGCGGTCATCGCAGATGTTTACGCAAACGTTTTAACTCTCATCTCTCATGTTTATACAAACGAGATTACTTCTCATGAAACTTATTTGTATGATGTCTTTGTTCCCAGCGTGATGATGAATGTTTGTAGAGGTAATCGATTGACTGTCTATTTAGCAGGCAAAAGGATTAGACGTCGGAATTGCGGGGCGCACTGTGTCTAGTCTCTAGATCTCATGCCTGGACCTTACTGTAACTCCCACATCGTCTATTCATATCTTAGATCGCTGTTGGCTGAGATTCGTTGTCACAAGCCAAAAGGTTGACAGCCTTTCTTTCTTATTTTATTGTTTGAGGAACGCTACACGGGCATAATCAAAATGCCTCAACACTACAGAGAAGCCCAGAATTCAGCACGCGTCGGACATGATTCTCACGCACGCTCATCTCATCAAGAAGGCAGCTCGCGACGCCGTCGTGACGACAGATCCCTATCGCCAGACCGAAGCGGGCGCAGATACCCAGAGGATCGCAAGAGAAGAGCGTCACCGTCTGGACGAAGAGAAAGGGAGTCTAAAAGGCAGCGCTCATCCGAGAGGCATCGCCATCATCACCAGCATGGCTCATCGTCGAGTCGCGTCGAGAAGCGCGTGGCTGCGGAATTGCCCTATGGGGCGAGGCACCTTTCAAAGGATGATTTGAAAGGGTTTGAGCCGCTGTTTGCCGAGTATTTGGATTTGCAGAAACAGAAGAATATTGAAGAGATGGATGAGCGGGAGGTCAGGGGGCGGTGGAAGAGCTTTGTGGGTAAATGGAATCGGGGCGAGCTGGCGGAAGGATGGTATGATCCTGAGATGTTTCAGCGTATACTTGAGCGTGGTCCGCCGCCGCAGAGGGAGCCGCAACAGCAACAGCAACAGCAACAGCAGCAGCATCGTCGACAACAATCAGATTCATCTGATGAAGAGCCGCCTGAAGCAAGGTATCTGGATCGCAATGGTAGCGAGGATGAGAACGAGGATGAGGATATGGACTATGGCCCTGTGCTTCCCGGAGCAGCGCCCGGTGATCGTCGAGCCGGCGCCACAATCCCAAACAAGCAGGATCTCACTCTCCGCGACGAACTTGCCGAGGAATCTCGCGAGGCCGACCGGGAAGACCTCCGCACCGCGCGCAAAGCAGACCGCAAGCTCCAAAAGGAGCGGCTCGAAGAGTTGGTTCCCCGCGCCGAGGCGGGCACTCGCGAGCGCAAGCTGGAGAAGCGCCAGGAGGTCAACGACAAGATGCGGCAGTTCCGGGACAAGAGCCCTGGAGGGGAGGTGCGCGATAGCGAGCTGATGGGAGGAGGCGACAGCTTGGAGGAGTATAAGCAGGCGAAAGAGAAGGAGCAGAGACGCAAGTCGGAGAGGGAGATTCGGCGGGAGGAGATTGAGAGGGCCAAGAGGGAGGAGATTGAGGAGAAGAGGAGGGCGTGGCAGGAGAGGGAGGATAAGACGGTGAGTATGCTGAGGGAGTTGGCCAGACAGCGGTTTGGCTCTTGATGCGACTTGATGCTCTTTTATGGTAATTTGGTTGCGATGACTTGAGTTTTGGCATCGTATTTACCTCTCTTTTTTTTTGCATTTACTATCTCATCGAACTTGGATATGGCATCGCAAGGGATATAAAGACATTGATTAATTAACACGAGCCTCTGAATATGATTTCTTTATCGCGACTTTTTCTTTTTTTTACATCATCGATTGCCCCTATGTTGGCTTTGGAGTCTCGAGATGGAGTTTCACACTGTGAGGCCCACTAGTACTGCGAAAAAAATTGGAATGATGGGCTTGGATCTAGCAAATCTAAAGACTGATGAGCATCATTTTGCAAGCTGTGGCATTCTAAAAATTGATACTGGGTCATTTTGAATAGGTCATGCGAAGAGTTTCATGACTATTTGAAAAAAGAGGAAACATTTCCGATTCCTGGCATTACAGCGACAGACTTTGGCTGTTTCTGAGAGTTTCACCCAAACTTGCTCTCAAGGTCTTATAATTCCCGGCCAGCACAAAGCTTTCCAATCCAAATCACAACATGGAAGAGGACGACAACTATGGCACCGGTGGCCTGATGGAAGATCCCGAAGACTACTACCCCTCAACCCCTCCTCCCACGCAGCAAATCTTCACCCTGGGAAGCGGCAAGCAGGTTGTCCTGAACCTGGTCGGCCACAGCCCTACAGAGGCTCACCACTTATGGAACGGCGCAAAGATCATCGCAGACTACTTTGAAGAGGGCCCCTCGCGGGTACGGAACAAGACGGTGCTGGAGCTCGGGGCTGCGTCGGGGCTGCCTTCGCTTGTGGCGGGCATCTACGGCGCCAAGAAGGTTGTCATGACGGATTTCCCTGATCCGGATATTGTCATGAACATGCAGAAGAATATCGATGCGTGTGATGAGACTACCGAGCCGAGGGGCCATATTGCAAAGACTGTTGATGCGGTTGGCTTTGTCTGGGGCGGAGATGCCGTGCCTCTCATTGCTCGTCTTGAAGGCGATTCAAATCAAGAGGAAGCGCGGTTTGACGTTTTGATTCTCGCTGATTTGCTTTTCCGGCACTCGGAGCATGGCGCTCTGGTCAAGACTATCAGGGAGACGATGAGGTCCTCGCGGGACAGCGCGGCATATGTCTTTTTCACTTCTTACAGGCCTTGGAAGAAGGATTTGGACATGGGCTTTTTCGACGTGGCGCGGGAGGCGGGCTTTGAGGTGGAGCAGGTGCTGGAGAAGAAGCTGGAGAAGCCGCTGTTTGAGAATGACCCGGGCGATTTGGATGTGCAGAAGACGGTCAAGGGGTTTATTGTGCGGTGGCCGGAGAGTGTATGATGGGGGCTGATGAAGAAGACTTGCATTTTATATATTGGAGGGGGTTTTAAAATAGCGAACTTGGGACTTTGCTTGTTGAAAATTGAATGGTATTTGGGGGGGGATTTAGAGTCTGTTTTGAAGTGTTCTTTGTTCTTCTTTGATATCAACTTGGTGAGAACTGTTTATATGGTTGTTTGGAGGTTGAGCTATACCTGGCTAGGAGTGAAACCGCATGCAAGGAAATAATTGATTAGGGAAATAGAGTTGAAGAAAGCTCTGCCTTGTTAGTGGGTAATTCATTATTTGTGATCAGTAATGCTCATGACAACAGCTTCGTTGATTTGCCTATAATACTATTCAGTACGACAACGTTGGCGCCGCTATAAACACGGGGGCGCTTAAGCAAATCCTACCCGACGCTATAACTTGAGCCTTGGGATCCTTCACGAGCCTAAACCCCGTTAAGCCCATCTCTTCTCCGCAAAGCCTTCAGCAGGGAACCAAGTTCGGGAAAGCTACATGTAGTAAGGCAGCAGATGAAGGAATTGGGAGAATGATGTGACCAATCAGGCTGCCTTTTGTGACTGGCGTGGTTGGTCAGGATGCCAGTCCTCGCATGTGAATGAAGACGCGCAACTATTCCTGCTCTTCGTGACTGTACCTTTCTTTTTCACAAACAGATACTGAAAATTTCATTGCCTGCTTCTTCAACTTGTGGGATTCCTATGAAATGGCCAAAGAGCGCACAATCCTCATCACCGGCTGCTCTGCCCACGGCCTCGGCGCCGTCCTCGCCCTCACCCTCGCCAGGCAAGGCCACCACGTCTTTGCGACGGCGCGCGATACGTCCAAGATCCCCTCTGAGCTGAGCAGCCTGGCCAACGTTTCGGTGCTTCGCCTTGATGTTTCATCTGCAGAGTCCGTGGCGGAGGCTTCGAAGGTGGTTGAAGATGCCGGCCGCGGTCTCGATGTGTTGGTGAATAATGCGGGATTCGGATATACGATGCCGATCCTAGACATTGATATTGACAAGGCGCAGGATTTGTATAATGCAAATGTCTGGGGGACGGTGAGGACTGTGCAGGCGTTTGCGGGACTGTTGGTTAAGAGTAAGGGCCGGGTTGTGAATGTGAGCTCTGTAGGGGCAGTTGTCAATACGCCCTGGATCGGTAAGCTTCTTCTTGTTTTCATATCCTCTGTCACTTTATACCTGGAATATCATTTTGGAAATGGAGGAGGTCACTAAATTCGGACTTTGGCAGGAACATATGCCTCTTCCAAAGCCGCCGTCAACGCCATCTCCGAAACCCTCCGGCTGGAGCTCTCTCCATTCGGCGTGAGTGTCGTGACCATCATGCTGGGCACCGTCGCTACGCCTTTCCATGCTAATGAGCCAACTCCCGAACTTCCTGCTACCTCGTACTACTCCGCCATTGTCGACACCATCACCAAGTGGGCCAAGGGCCAGACGGGCCCTAAAGGCGGACCAGTGCAGGATGTTGTCGACTCCATGATCCCAGACATTGTAGCAGAAGGTCGTAATGGCGTGGTTTGGAGAGGGGCAAACAGTACTGCTGTCTGGTTTGGATCGCGATGGCTGCCGGGGAGGATGCTGGTGAGTTGAACTTTTCACTTTCTAATTGAATGCCAGTAGAAGCTAACATCATTCTCTTAGGATGGGGCAATGTCTATGGGGCAAGGACTAGCTGAGCTGACACAGAATTTTGCTAAATCTTGAAGCAGAGATGAAGACATATGATACAAGGGAAGTAAGGAGAGTGTAGTGTTGATATCTATCTAAATATCCAGGGACGGGCCATGTACAATTTCTACCGCTCATGTTAGAGGAGTTCTATGATGCTATTCATTAATCGTACAATTTACTATAGCCGCTATGGCAACCTGCTCACACTTTAGTGTTTCTTAATACATGTCTTCATCCTCAAGCCGGAAGCTTGAACGCTCCCGTGACACGATGTGTAAACACGCCCTTCGGATCAACCCTTTCACGGACTTTCTTTAACCTCTCTATACTCTCTTTCCCATAACTAGCAATCGGATCCTGCCACGGCGCTGCGTAGTTTACATACACAAACGGATCATACTCACCAAGCTCTTTTGCTCTTGTTTCAATGTCCACAAGCATCTTGCGTGCTGTCTTCTCAACCTTGGCGTCATCTGCCTCGTCCGTCCACATGGCCGTTAAGAGAGTGATAACTAGGGGCTTGTTCCTATCCGAGAGGCCCAGGCTGTTGGTTGTGTCTGCTTTCTTGTAGAATATTGTAGGTAGAGGCTCGAGAGAGATGGACCATACAATGTTGGCGACATCTTCAACGATGGAGATGCTCTTCTTCCAGCAAGAGAAGACGGTTTTCAGCACGTCCAAATTGGGGCCGTGGGTGGTTTGAAGACTGAATTGGCTGTTGGTTATGACATGTCAGCAAATCGAACTTGGCTTACACAGAGCTTTTGATACACAGGGACTGAGGAGAATCAAATGCTAATACTTACCGTAGGCCATATGGAGAGTAGACCGCCTGCTCCCTAGAAATCTCCCCCATGCCAGCCAGCCGCATCGTGCTCATCACATTGGGAATTTGAAGCAACGGCTCGAAAACAGGCAAGCTCTCCGCGGGCTTGGTATACTCGACGCTATTGACAATGCCGGCGCCTCGTCCCGCCCCAAAGCCAAAACTGGTGATGAGGCTGGCGTATTCGTCATAGTCTTCAGCTGAAGCAAAATCCTGAAATGCCTTGAGGTTGTCGTCGATAGTGTCGAGATTGTGGAAGAGAGACCCGCCCCAGATTTGGCCCTGCTCGAAAGCAGCAAAGTCGAAGCGTGTTACCACGCCAAAGTTGTTAGTTCCGCCTCTCAACGCAACAAGAAGGTCTTGGTTCTCCTTGTCGTTGGCATTCACGATGGATCCATCCGCCAACACCACCTGGAAGTTGGTGACGGTGTCGCAGGTCCAGCCAAACCGGGGCGAAAAGTACGAGATGCCTCCTCCGAGAGTCAAGCCGCCGACGCCTACCGGGGCGGACCGGCAGCCGGCGACGGAAAGGCCGATTGCGTCTAGCTCATCGTAGACTTGCCCCCATTTTGCGCCGGGGCCGATCGATACCGTCTTCCGATCCTCGCTCACTTGGATGGAGTTGAGGCAGCTCAGGTCGATGGTTACGCCGTCATCTACATTTGCGGACCCGGCATCGACAGCATGGCCGCCGGATCGAATAGCGAGCCGGATTGGGTTGCCATCCTGGTCTTCAGCACTGGATAGAAGGCGAACTGTCTCAGCAACATCTTCCGAACTTTTGGGGGAGATGACGACTATGGGTCGGAGCTGAGACTGTTGCTGCGCAAAGTACGAAGCATTGGAAGAGGCATAGCCGTCGGACCCTGGATGAAAGACCTTTTCGGGCCCGAGCGTTGACAGCAGCGTTGAAAGCAACGTTTGAATCTGGCGATTGTATTCATGCGTTAGGTGTCTGGTTGCAGCGGAGGGTGGAGAAGGGGGGGACATGGCTGCTATAATGCGCCCACTTACATGATGAGACTCTGCCATGTTAAGACTTGTTGGTTTACAAAAGGGCTTAAAGAAACAAAAGAAAATCTACCAAGTGGCGACTTGCAAATCGGGAATTAGTGGAAACTCCCTAGATTCTCAAAGATAGGCCGTCCAGCGAGGAGAGATGCGGGCCTGCTACAGTAATAAAGAGAGCCATTCTTGAAACAGGCTACCTCTCGGAGACTCGGATGTGGGGAGAAGATGGTATAATTATGTTGGGCATTCGATACATGCACAAACTGGCTAAGAACCTGGAACGATAAGACAATAGCCCATGTTAAGCGAGGTGACGGTGACACATGGGTCGAGGGATGTGGGAACAGTCTCAATTAAAAGGAACACTTTCCATGTCTCCGGGTGTCTCCCATCCGCGGAGTTTGTTGTCCGCATCGTGATTATGTGACCTGTTTATCCTCCACAAGGAAAAGCGCTCTGGGCATATATATCCATATAATGAGACAAAAAAAAAAAAAGAGAGAGAGAGATCCCATAGCAGGCTATAACAAGTCCAAGAGTTGCGCGCATTTGTTGAGCATTTGCCCCTAGCAAATAGCGGCCCGATCCATCGTTCCATCTGTGATCCCCACAGTGGGAGAGCTGAAAACCACTGCGGAATAGTATCGCGCCAGTTTCCCGGAAAGAAATAGCAGTGAATTCGGAATGTTGGCACGAAACAGAAAAGTAATTGAAACCCGTAACTATTATAACTTTTTTTTTTTTTTTTTTTAGAAAAAGCAGGAAATAAGAAGAACAAAAAGAAAAAAGAAGCTTTTCCGTCCAGCTCCGAATCATCAGACGCGATGAAAAATCTAGTAATTGCTCTCGCTTGTTGCTGCTTTGCCATAGACAATCTCATCGAGAGGTACGGCGACGCCTTCAGTTGTTGCAACCATGGGTTCTCAAAACACAGGCTTTTGAAAGCATCTCAAATCTGAGGGCTCCTCGAAGACGATGACTCAAGTAGCACTTTTGCATATGCCTTGATCCGGACTCCCATTCAGCCCTTTTGCAAATCTCTCATGATGAGCTTCCACAATGTTTTATACTTTCTTAATCGGTTCGAATTGTCGTCATAGCAAGTTGAGTGTCTCATATTCGTGATTACAATCCGAGATTGCATGTCGTCCAAGGTTTTCACCATATTAGGCAAGTCAAGCCATTCGCCAGACATGATGGCCGCCATATCATTCCATTCATGCGGCTGCCCTGTGAGATGGTAAATTGTGTCTCGTACTTGGTCGAAATCTATATCTGCGATTGATTCGGTATCGAAGGACTCCCCCATCGCAGTTGGCTTTTTCCAATACTCTTCTTCATTCCGGATGGCCGGCTGCAGCAAATCAAGTAGTGCCTTGGCGCTTCGTTGACTTGGGCCATCCTATTCAATTCATAGAATACGGTTTGCCATTCGCGGCATTTCATAGGCGGTGCAGTCCCTAAATATTTCATGATGGGTGCGGCTAAAAGAGACTCTCCTCATCCACCTTACCCTCCCTGCTAGCTCTGGGTGTCATCTCAAAAGATGAGTTTGCGAATTCTTCTTCCGTCAGTCTGCCTTCTGTAGCGGTGATGAGTCCTTGCTGGTTGATATAGAGGCTGTGATCCTCTTTCATAGTGATGATACCGTCTGTAATGAGTGAATTCAAATATTGGCGTTGACGGTGTAGAAAAGTTCGTTTCTCAGCTGAATCCTTTGTATCTAACGGACTATTGTGAGTTGATGAGATAATTGGAGATTCTTTCGACAAGGGATGGATCATCCATGTCGTCTGGAAAGAAAGAAGAACACAAATAGAGGTAAAGTGAAAGAATAACGGATAAGGGGTTTTAATTTAGTAGAGAATAACTTCTGAGGGTAAAAGAAGAGTAGTTGAGAAGGCGAGCTTTGAGGAACATAATATCACTAAAGTGGGAGCTCGCAGGAGGTGTCAAGGAAATAAGAAGAGGCGGAGCAGTAGAAGAAAAAAAAAGTAAACAAAAGGAGGAGAAAACGCACTGACGCTCGATTATTGAACGAGTGTAGGCTCATCAGCTTCGCTCAAGATAGAGTCTACCATGCCAGAGATACAAACAGCACCTCGCAATCTTGGCTGTCAATCAAGTCACTTTCGCAGAGTTACTAGCCACAACAGCTCAAAATGACCACACCGCCATCCAAATGGACTATCTCTTTGTAGTTGCATCCTCGTATGATGTGGATGTTATATCTCGCCTACATATATCACGAACTCAATCTATAGTGGCTTAACGTGTCAGTTCGACTCATTTCTTTCCAAATATATTACATTTCATCATCTCTACTGAACCACAATTGCACCGTTCCACTCCTTGACGGGAATCCTCCTTAGTAACTCCTGATTCGTGAAACACCTATCCAGGTCTACTTCCGGAATAATCAACTGCAGACTTCCAACCCTTTCCCACCGTGCTTCAAACGAATCAGACTCAACCCTCTGCAGCGTCAAGAATCTTGCCCTTCCATGCTCCGCGCGGGGTCTCTGAGCCGTAAAGATGAGCACACTGACAAGTTCACCGGTGTAGTGTTTCTGAGTCCACTCCTCCTCGGTGATGGAGATGGACATGCTGACAAACGCCAGCCTGCCGGCGATGCGATACCATTTCTTGTCCCACTCCTGTCTTTCGGCCTGGTATCGGCGCTTCTCGCCTGCTCGGCCCGCTAAGCGCCTCCATTCCCAGCTCCCCTTGATTTCGTGCCGGACCGAATATCTCAAAACGAGGGGCTTGCGTATCTCCAACAGCATGGGTACCTTTTCTTCTAACAAATCTGCCGAATAGAGATTCAGTAGTCGTAGGCATACCGGCTCGCAAGCGCATCTCAGATACAGATCTGCTGCCCACACCAAATGAACTTGAAGTGGCTCGGCTGTGATCAAATCTCCCATGAAGACGCTGTGCTCGTCTGACGGCGGTGCTCGCCACGATACGGTGCCCTGCCATCCTGCCCAAGTCCAGGACGGTAGATGCGTCCTGCGTTCGCATGGCTCTGCGATAAACATCTGGTGCTCATCGCCGCTGCGGTGATACCATGAGCAGACTGAGAGGGCGAATGTGATGTGAGCACCCGTGAGGTCAACCAGTATATCGTCTATCCACATTGGGATACCGAGGTATATGCGCAATCTCTTGTCTCTGAACATGCCGACGATGCCAAGAAAGGCCTTTAGAGAATCTCCGCCATGACTTAGCTTTCTTGCTGAAAAGGCTCGAATGTGATCGTCTAGGGCCCGCAGCTGTGTATTCATAGACCCTTCATCTTGGGCGGGAAAGCCGTACTCCAACCTGTGCTCATCGGTTTGTATAACATCTCTGTAATACTTTTCTGAAAATTCACCACCAGATGACTCGCTTTTGAAGATGCCACCCAGCATGTAGTCCTCCATATGCTGCCCCTGTGGCGTCGGAGGGGAGATTTCTCTCCTGCGCAAATCGGCGGCGTTAGGATTCTCAACAGGAGTGTGGTTTTTATGGACCAACTCCAAGGGTATCTGGAGAGACTCTTGCGCTGCCATACATCGACACTCCCAATAGGCTTGATTTTCAGTAAACACCAGGCGCCTGTTCGACAAGACCCCTTCTTGGTATGTCCACCCCCTTGTCCAATATTCAGAGGCTAGAATCTCTTGACGGGGATCTTGAAGCGCAGAAACTAGCAAACTGCCGTCCTCTAACAAAATCTTTGGCTGCTTCTTTCGAGGGGTCGATCGAACACCTGGAAGGCCATCGCTAGCTCCTGACCCAGACGCCGAAACAATGGTGAGCTCAGCATACTCGTATATCGTAGTCATTCGAGAGATGAGATAGTCTTTCTCTACCGGGTCGGATTGGTTGATACACAGTCGATCAACCCACAGGTATCGTAATCCTAACCGACGTGACACATCAACGGCGTCAAGGACAGTAGCCGGCCAATCCACCAAGTCCTCTTGTCGCTGGCCCCAGACATAACTAAGCGCGACGTATTCAACCCCCCAAGGCATCGAAACCACGGTCGGAGGGTCTTGTTCACAATCAATTACACGAAATCCCTTTGTGATTGTATCGCCCTTGGTTGGACGGCAGCACGAGCTCAAGTGCCGCTTTTGGCAGAAGGAGAACCAGTCTTGGACAATGGCAAAATCGATTTTGCCATTGAGTTGCCTTGCTTCCAGCAGCGGCGGCTTCTCTTCGTGGGCCGTGTCGGGCTGTAGGAGATAGATGGGCCCAACAGCCGGAATATCCTTGTCAAGCCAGTGTTCATCATGGCCCGACTGCGGTATTGACGGTATATCCGGCACAACGCTCATCCATACTGTATCCCGGGTGTGGTGCCAAGCATGGCTCATCTTCAGTCCTGATAGACCAAACATCCAGCTTTCGCTGCTGCAAAAGGCAAGAAGTTTATAATTCTCATGGCGTCTATTCGCTTGTATTCTCATAGACCAGAAGAAACGGCAAAGAGGGCATGTCGCATTTCTTGACAAGCGCTTTCCGAACGAGTGCGCAAAAAAGGCATCTCCGTAGAATAGAGGACCGCCAGTGCGGCTATGGAATAGTTTGGAGGGGCGCTTGACGATGCCGTTTCTGGCTCGTTTGAAGGCATCGGAGGCTTTGACGAAGCTGGTGTTGATGTCGAGAAGCTTGCAATCTTGGCAAAGCTCATTTGCATGTCGGCCATTGGCTTTGAGGCGCTTATTTCCGTTTCCTGGTTCGGGGCCTTTATCGTCTTCGCGCGGCCTTTTATAGTCCATATTGTATTCTCTCTTATAATTCTTTTCGTTGAATGCGCTGCAGAAAAAGGGAAAGAGGAAAAGTAGAAGTATACATCCAAGTCATGAAACAACTGGCGGATGTCCGCGCATAATATTCCAGCGCTTCTTGTACAGCCTCAGCTGAGATGCCATTGCGATAGTGGTGTGGGAGGCCCGCGACTCGAGAACGGCCTGTGAGGCTTACAAGGCGTTCTTGAGCATATTTGCAGGGGTGTTGGATCCAGGCAGCGGCCGCTATAAAGGCCATTTTGTTTCGCAAAGCGCTTAAAATAAACTCGCGGCAATTATTTTAATCATTCAGACAGATGCTTTGATTGAAGACAAGAGTTGTTGTTTCTTGCCATCTTCAAGTGGTGGAGCGAGATTGACATTTCCGCCTAGTCTTTGTCTTATCATGCATCGTGTATTCTGTATACAGCTTCAGACTCCAACCCAAAGCCCGGGAGAATGCCTTAGTCAACTAGAAAGTAGTAGAGTAGTTGCATGTGACCATTGTTTTATTAGCATAATCATACCTCCTGATCGTGCAGTAACTGATAGAACAAACCCATCTTCACCAGATTGTCGACACCTAACTATTTAATCTCGGTCTCAGGAAATGGCTTTAATCTATCCAGAGGACCCTGACCTCCCGATCTATCTAGCGGCCCTTTATCCATCTAGATCTACCTAGCCGGCCCTGATTAATCTAATTTACTTTTGAGTCTATACGAATAAGCAGCTTCTTTTTCTTCTCCTGGAAATGCCGTCCCTCTCCACGCTGCTACATAAACGCCCCAAAAGCCGGTGATTGGCGCGAGTGCTGCCGACGGATAAAGTTGTCCATCGTGGAACAACTGCCTCGCCAATCCTATCCGCTCCAATGACGACATTTGCAGCGGAGCAATTCTATGGAGAAATCCATCGTGCGGAAACATGGCGCCGCGGGGCATTGATCTTTGGTGGGGGATTTTTCTGGACATATATTCGGCCTGGGTAAAATGGAACGCTGCCTAATCTCGACTTATATGCATTTGATGTATTTTAACCTCTCATAAACCTTTTCTCTTGGTTGTTCTACTCTTTAATAGACAAGCATAGTATTTTATTGTAATCACCACCATGGCTCGACCATATGAAGGCAAACTCGCAATCGTTACTGGTGCCTCACGAGGTTCGTATTTAGCCGCCACTAACATGGACTCATCGGACACAATCTGCTAACACGCAAGAAACAAAGGCATTGGAGCTGGAGTAGCCAAGCGGCTCGCAGCCAAAGGCAGCAACGTTCTCGTTACTTTTACTTCAGAATCATCCAAAGATCTGGCACAGGAGATTGTCCAAGAACTCAAAACAAAGCACAATGTCCACAGCCAGTCTATCCAGACGGATCTCACCCAAGCAACCAACGCAGCAACCGTCATTCTCGAGGCCGCGAAAAGCCTCTTCCACAGCTACAACCCCCAGGGGAAATTCCAAGTCGACATCCTCATCAACAATGCCGGCGTCTCGTCAAACCAGCACATGAACGACCCCAAAAAGGGCGCCATTACCGAAGCCGAGTTCACGCGAGTCTACGCCGTCAACGTGCTGGCACCGCTGCTCCTAACGCAGACCGTGGCGCCATATCTGCCTACAGACCGCTCAGGCCGCATCGTCAACGTCTCCAGCGTCTCATCCTCTATTGGCTACATCGGCCAATCTGTCTACGCGGGCAGCAAAGGCGCCCTCGAAGTCATGACCCGGACATGGGCCCGCGAACTCTCGGAGCGAGCAACCGTCAACTCAGTCAACCCTGGACCTGTTTGGGGCGACATGTACGCTGAAGCAGGCCCGGCATTCTGGTCTACGAACCAGCCATTCGTGGATGTGGCTCCGCTGACGGCCTACAATGGCGAGGCTAACGTGCTGGAGCAAGTGGGACAAGATGCCGACAAGTTTGACAAGCTCGTGCGAGGAGGTATGGGTGGACGACGGCCCGGTTTTGTTGATGAGATTGCTGGGACGATTGACATGTTGTGCACGGAGGAGAGTGGATGGACGACGGGGAGCGTGGTTTGCGCAAACGGGGGAATGAGGATGAACCTGGCATAGATTAAACATCAAATCAAATGATGCTGATGCTGGTTTATTTACTTGTGGTGTATAATAGATAATGGAATCAAGCTGCTACTTCGTTTAGACCCGAATGATATTTTACCGCGGGCATTCATTGCTGTTTACAAACTCTGATGGAGGCTGCAATGAGATTAGCCTTTCTGCATAGTTTGAGCAGCATGCAGGAATCACTGTACTTAAAACCTCATTACGGATCGCGAATATTGTAGCCATCAAGCTAGCTTTTGGAGTACATAGGCTGAAAACAAATGTTTGAAAGCTATAGATAGTACCATAGCAATGCTCCTTACTTCGTCTACGTATCTCTCGCCAAGCTCCCTTGGACTCGATGCATTCAAGATTATTCTGACCACCAGATTCATATCAGGTCCTCTCAAAAATGGCAAAGGAGAGCACGTCAGTTGTGATTGCTTTTATTACTACTAGTAGCTAAAAATTTCTGGGTATGTACTCAATTTCCTGCAGCGAAGATACAATTTTTTCATTTCCCTCCCCTCAGCTCCCAAAATCTTGGTAGATCAATAGTCCATACATGTAATCCCACATTCTCTGCTCACCGATGAGCCGAGTAAACAACTTTCTGCCAACGTTACCTCTGAAGATGCCAAATCAAATCTTAAAATCCTGCTCGAATCCTTGTTCGGCACCGGAAATGGCAGTGAAGACCTCTCTGCCCAAAGCCACGAGTGCAGAAGCAGCGCCTTCATTTTGAACTTCTCTTAGGCATTCGGCGGCGTACATTGCTGCGTGAACCACGCAGTCATGCTGAATTGCAGACTTCCGATCGATTGTTGCTTTTTTACCTCGAATGTTGACAAAGTAGCCCATATCGCGAAGAATATCCAGGGAATTGGCGAGTAGTTTTTGAGGGTTCAAGGACGCAGTTTGGATGCTCCAAATGTTGATATCCCAGCAGTCAAATCGGGGAAGACGCTCATAATACGCCTTGGGATACGTCTCTCGCATTTCTTCTAAAAGCTTCTTGGCTCTGGCCCTCTTTGCAGCCGAAAAGCTCCAATTGTTCAAATTCTTTATACCATTCTCGGACAGGAACGAGTTGATTTCCTTGCGAAGTCGAGCGCGCTTGACGATGGTGGCCTTGGGAACTTTTGCTTCTGCGCGGCAGAGGTCGCAATCGCACTTGAAGCCATAATGATTCTCTACAACCTCCTGCCGCTTGTCAAAGGGCTTGTCTTGGGGAACATATTGCATGAGGATTTCTCCTCCGACTGGAATCTCTCGCAGGGCGCGGACAATCATCATGTCGCCAATGAAAGCGCGAGTCGCATTAGGGAGACACGAATGATTCGCGTACGAAGCCTGCAGCCAAATGCCCGTGCTGTCGTTGAAGCCTAAATTCCTCGCCTTGGGCTGCTTCTTGTCCCTGGATTTGACTCTGGGGCAGCCAAAGCCATTGAGCTCTGCAATAGATTGCACTCGGAACGTGTCCACGGCAACTCTTCCATCGACCACCTTGAGTTCCTTTTCGTTGCCAAACTTGCCTCCATCGAAAAGGTCAATATACTTATTTGCAAGTGTTGGGTTCCAAATCATCTTATCAACAGTCCCTTGAAGACGTAGGGAATCAGTTCCGATAGAAATTCGATTGGTGTTGATGTTGAAAAGAACCGAAATGTCCTCGCCGTCATCATGTGCTACGTAGAAAGCTTTCTCTACAAAAACGACGTCACCTGGCTTCAACGTCTCCGTAGCAAAGAGTCCGCGACCACGGCTCCCTGCTTGAGCAACTTTGACGCGTCTGAGAAATGAGGCGTGGTCGAGTAAATAATGCTGCTTGGTAACAGACCTAGCCATCAGAGAGAAATCAAAATTTCCATTCTCCTGTTCCGAGATACGCTTCAGCGTCCGAGAAAGTTCATTTCGAGATTCTCTGTGGCTCCCATCGAGTTCAAGTGCTTGGCCAAAGAGTTGTTTTGCTTGGGCAAAGTCTTGCATCTCATAGGCGGCTTTGCCTGCTCGATAAAGGGCTTTGATATTCAGACTTTTGGCAGCTTCCGATATATCTTCAGCCGAGTTCATAGAAGCCATTGCGTCTTTGATGGCCAGCTCGTAGCGACCAAGGCGCAAGTTTGCCGCAGCACGATTCCGGCACAGATCTCGCCGAAGATCACCGTCATCTTCATCCAAGCCACAAGCGTCCAGGGCATCGGAATAGGTTTCAACCGCCTCCTGGAAATCGCCTCCCATGAACATAAGATTGGCTTCCTCCTTCAGGCGAATTGCTGACTGGCCTATCTGCTTTATGCGGGCGTCGAACCGGCGAGGAATGATGCTATTGCCGGGCTTGAGCAGCACAAAGTCGGTGGGATGATCGACTCGTACAATGACGCCACCATCAGCAGAACATTTGTAGTATGGCTCTTTGATCGCCACTACAGCGCCTTGAGGAAGGACTGCGTCGGGCTCAGTAGTCGGAAGCAGGTTATAGATGGCAAGGCGATTTACTTCTCCGAGCTCATCCTCGACCGCGTTCTGGATGGAGGCCAGATAGTGTGGGTTACAAAACGCTCTGACGATGAGAACACGGCCGCGATGCTGCGTTTCAAGCGTAAGATCGCGAAAGTGTATCGGTACGAGGCTGGAGAGAGGCAAAGTACAGGGCGGGTACGCTGCGCCTATGAAGCAACTGCGAAAGTTGTGTCGCTCATCAGGCAGCATCAAGCTACGCATGCCATCTTCCAATGCCTAAAAAAGATCAATATATGCATATTTTTTCCAACAAAAGGGTAGCCTGAAGGGGCGCCATACCAACATAAAAAACTCTTGCTGAAGAACACTCCGGGAGCGCTTCATTGAAGCGGGAGGCTTCTGTCCTTTGTAGGCCTGAGCTCTTTTGAGCTGTGACTTTTGTTGCTCTAAATGAGCAAAGAATTTTTCCATGTCCCCACCGTTTGTTTCCATGGCAAAGTCAGACGCCGAGAGATGTTGGCGGTTATCAAAGACACAAAGAGCGTAGGAATATAATGAGTTTGCGAGTAATCTGATGATCAATTTGTGTTGGTTTGCTCGGATGGAATAAGAGGATTGAGCACAATAATATACGATGCATAAGAGTTTTTTTCCACTGACGAAGTGAATGGATAGGGACGAGCTTGAGAATTTTTGCTGAGGGAAAAGCGAGGCTGCATGTCGCGGGTTCGTTTGTGTAACTGCAGGTTGTAGGCCTCCCTCATGTGCCTGATGCTTATTGGCTTGATGCACTCCATGTGACTTGACCGACCACCTGGCATTCACTCATTCGCGGGCGCAGAAAAGTAGTAACCCTTGGGTTGGCACCTAAAGTTGTCTAACTTAATTCTGCTCTTTACAGTTGTTGGTAGCTGATATTGCAAAGCTGCTCTGTGTCCCCTGACGCCTTTCTGGATGCTAGACAAAGAGATGCTGCTTTGCCACTGCTCAACATTGCTGCATCTAAAGACTTGTTTTTCATTTGACTTTTTGAAAAGAGTGATGTAGGAGCAGGAAATGGAGAAAATAGATAGAAAATTGTGATCCAACGCACCACTTCTATTACCCAGCGGCTCAATCGTGGCTGCTGTCGCGGATTTCCAGTATTTACTCTTCTTCTACTGTTTCGACTCGTAGCTCAAAACACAAAGAAGCACAGATAGTCGTTCAAGTTTGCTATTTATAGTAACTGCTATTCATTACCTCTTTTACAGATACTCAAAGACACTTTTACGTATTGTTTAGCTCGTTGTTCTTTGTATATTATTGGGTTCATTGTATTGATATCACTCGCCGACAAACAAACAGACGGACTACGTCATGTGCATTTGGCCTTACTTGGAAGCATTGGACTATTTAATTCAATACTTTCTCCCCTTTCTTGAAACATAAACTCCATGACTTTTCTCTCCTCTCGGTATATCATAACTACATAAAACCACAAACCATCCTCCTAGTCTCCATGGAACAAGCCCAAGCCGCGAGAGCCGCCCAAGAGGCGCGCGATCGTCTTGAGAACCCAGGTCAAAGGCAAACGAATCAAGCTACAGGCATCGAAAACCCCAATTCTAAGCCTGTTTTGAAGCGGAAGCGAGAATCCGAACTCGCTGATGAACACGCCCTTGCTGAAAGCCCAGTCGCCTTTTGGGCGAGAGAAGGGTTCTGGCCTCCCAGATACAAGAGGCGTGGTAGACAACATATACTGGCACGAAAGTGCCCGACAGAACCGTTGAGCGATGACATGGAAGGGATGGAAAATGCACAAGACTCGACGGGAGTACAAGACTCGCAAGACGCAGGAAATGCAGTGAGTGCAGGGAACGCAGAAGCTCCGGGAAATGAAGAAGGCTTGGAAGATGCGGAAGATGTGGAATATGAGGAAGATGAGGAAGATGTAGAGAGCGATGGCTGGGCACATGAGGAAAAGATTACCCTCTATAAGGATCTTGAATGGGATCTTGATAAAGAACGCAGTTTTATCTGCGATTCAATCCTAGGCGCCGACCCGAAGATCACGGAACTCTGTCAAAAGTGGCTTGAGGAATCCCAGGAACTTCCCGATGGACTCGAACCTGGCGTTGACTTTTTCGAGTCTCTCGAACAAGACAAGACTGAGCTCGAGGCCGCCAAACTGTTCAGCTCGCACATGATGCCCTACGACGGGGTCCAAATTCTGAGCACAAGCTTTTACAGAGGCTGGAACAACTCGGTTCCCTTGGCTGAAATGCGGCCGCAGCCTGATTTGACTGTCGGATTTGCCCTTTGCGAGTTTACCCAGGACCAGCTCAAGCGACTACTTCCGTTTATTGGTGGAGATGCAATCAATTATCAATCCTTCTTCATGGCGACAGACAAGATATGCTTCCCATTTCTGACGTACGAAATGAACGACATCTCTCTCGATAACGCGGACCTTTTGAATGCTCACAACATGACTCTTGCCGTGCGCGGCGTCGTCGAGCTATTCCGTCTCGTGAACCGCCAGCACGAACTTCACCGGCAGATTCTTGCCTTTTCTCTCTCTCACGACTGCACATCGGTGCGGATATACGGCCATTATGCGGAAATTAAAGGAAAATTAACCACGTACTACCACCATCCGATACACAGCTATCGATTTGAAAATGAGGAGGAAGAGGGGAAATGGGCGGCACACCGGTTTGTGAAGAATGTTTATGAGAAATGGGTGCCTGATCACTACGAGAGGATTTGCTCGGCTATCAATCAGCTGCCGCTGTTGGGATCTGATCCTGAGTCGATTTTCAATCACAAGTGGGATCCTATGTCGCAGTTACCTGATGTATTGGCCCATCTTGAGATGGAGTAGTATACACGTCGCTAGAATTATGCATCTGTGTCTTTTTACAGTTTTAGAGACATGATTCATACACAGGCGAATGGGTAGCTATATATGTATATGTGTGCACAGAGTATCTGAGTTTTTTGTTGAGTTATGGTAGTTGGCAATTCAATATTCAAGTTTTCATTAAATTCATCTATTAATACCAGTCTCTACTAACCTACAAAGTAGCCGCAAAATGGTTTACTACTAGTAGTACAAAGAGTTTCCCATAGCCCTATAAGAGCCAGTCGCGGGGTTTAAGCGTCAACTTCCATGATGCTTCTATGATACCCATCTGCATTTCTTATAGTTTTATTTTGTTAATGACCCCAGAAGCGAGCTTTCGATCGGTTGGTGCTGGCGGTTTCCCCATTCGCAGTATAGAGTGGCGTGGAATCCTTGCAGAGATCAGTGTCTTATGCAGCTGCGCTTATTGCGCTTAAGATGGCGCTTAAAGCGGCGCTAAAATGATCTAGAGGTAGATACGTACAAGTATCAATACAGTACTAAAGTAGAAGCAATAGAAAGGGTAGATGTAGAAACAGCGGAAACAGTTGGAAGCTCTAAATAAGAATCTGGTTGAAGTTCTCAAAAAAGGCTTCAGTTGTTAGGGCCCCTGTGCGCCGTGGTGTCTGGGTGCTAAAACTCCTTTTGGCTGCTCCCCACTCCCTTGTCAACCTACCACCTAGGCCTACCTACCTTCATACATACCTGGGGCAACTTCAACATGCATGTGGTCGCGCGTCGCCCTTTGACACGCCATACGCAGCCAGTCCCATCATGTCGCATTCAGTGTTGATGCCCAAACTCATCTCCGCCTGTTCTCTCCCCGGCATATAAATTCGTCACTGCCCTCCATCGCGATGGCCATGGCTCTCACTCGAACGCAGAAACGCGCCATCGAGAGCCAGCAGCAGCCAGAGCCAAATAAGAGAAGTATGGCCAGCCTCTATCCTTCGCCTGATATCGCTAATCGATTCCAGGAAAGCAGTCCAACTCAGATACACCGAGCCCGAACGAGGCAGCGAGGACCTTGACGAAGAGTTCGCCCTCAGGGAATCTGGCCTCAGGGAATCCGCCCCTAGTTGACAAAGTGGACGAGGGCGATCCTATCGCGTACTGGGTTCGAGAACAGGTGTGGCCATACGAGTACATCAAGGATGATCCCGACAGGCAAAAAATCATCATGCACCGTATACTCTCAAGGAAGAAGTCCGTGGTCGGCCGGAAGCGGCCAGAGCCTGCCTCTATTAGCTCTGGTACAGAAAACCAAACCAATGCCTCGTACCGCAGCCGGGCATTCGTTCAGCTACTCCAACTGCACGGAAGCTTCATGGAGATGTCGAAACTAGGAATCGCTGATGAAAGTCGAGATCTCTGCACGACCTTGCTCGATCACGAGCAGAAGCTTCCCCGTGAATCGATTTTTGATGATGATATATTCCAGACAACATGCCAAAGAGTCGCCTCCAGAAACGAGGCGATAGTAGTGCGAGATATCTTGCCATTGATTGTACCCTCTGCCGAGATTTTTGCTTCACGCATACCCGAGCTGGAATGTTTAATCGAGAGTGTCAATGAAGTGTGGAGCAATTCTGAGCCGGTAACAACTAATCGCCCACAACCGGATTATTCTGTTGGATTCAAGCGCAAAGCCTTTACGGAGGAAGAGCTGGACAAAATAGCCCCCGTTATCGGCGACTTTATTGCTGGGGATCAGAGCATATTCATGGCTACATCCGAAATGTACTTTCCATTTCTCACATGTGAAGTCAAGTGTGGCGTTGAAGCTCTTGAATATGCAGATCGCCAAAACACTCACAGCATGACACTCGCTGTGCGCGCGATTGTCGAGCTCTTTCGTCTTGTGAAACGGGAGAGTGAGCTGCACCTCCAAATTTTGGCATTCTCCGTCTCGCACAACCATGAGACAGTACGGATCTATGGCCACTATCCTGTTATAGACAAGACCACGGCGAAAGTCGAATACTACCGGCATCCGATTCGAAAATATGACTTTACAGAGCTCAATGGCAGAGACAGATGGACTGCATATCGATTTACTAAAAATATCTATGATATATGGGTACCAATGCATCTGGAAAGAATCTGCTCCGCCATCGATCAGATAGAATTACCGGAGCTAAATAACCCTGGCGCTTTTGCAGAAACAGGCCTTACTCAGGAGCTTGAGAGCAATCAACTTTCGCTGTCAAACGTCGATGTTGCGTCGTCGGATGAGGTGGCCACAACGGATACCCCCATTTCTTCAACCAATGCCAAGAAGCAAAGAAGAGGCAGATAGTGACTGCATCTAGCTACTAGATCAACAACATCTTGCTACTAAGCCAACGATATCCAGCTACGATATCCCGTCACTAGATCAGTGATATCTAGCTACGATACTCAGCTACTAGATCAACGGCGTCTAGACCAACATCATGCAACTACCAGACCAACGGAATCTGGCTAGGATCAGTAGCGTCCGACAATTATATCAGATGTATCTAATGCTTGAATCGAAACGCATGCAGACTCGCCAAGCAGCCAAGGCCATCCGTGTTGACAACATGAAGGCGCGAGCGCTCTCTTTGGAATGCCCTTCTTAGTAGAATGGGATTATCCGGCACTTTTAGGTGCGCAGTCAGCGTTTCCACAGCTCCCCCTACGCAACATCATATTGGCTGCTTTGAAACTTGAACCCTCATGGCTCAGTAAGTGTAACATGCATGGATTCGGAGCTTTGCGCCAGGTGCTTCAGGACCGCACTCTTACTATACAACCACGAATATTCTACTAGACCTCTTGGCAATTTTCCAAGGCAACGTGCTAAAGCATAAAAATTGCGACTCAAGACACATTTTGAGCTCTCCAGCGAAATGTAGAGCAAAGAAAAGTACTGTTGGACCAATTCCAGAGACATACTGCGGAATTAGAGATGCGGAAGGATTGGGAGGGGCTGCACCACACACGCAGAGCATCTGCATTATTTTCTCCCCTCATGCAGCGAGCGAGTTTATGCCAGGCTGCAGTCTAACACGTGGATGTAACGCAAGAGATTCGTCTTTTTGCTGCTCTTTTAGGTAGGTAGGTAATAGTAGCCAAGTAAGACCTAAGTCGCACCTCTAAGAATGAGGGTCAATTCCATGACCAAGTTGCACGCAAGCTCTGGACGAGACGTCACAGCGCCTTGAGCTCTATATCCCCCCCACTTACACCGTCACTCGTCCTGCTTCATCCTTTCCTGCTTGCTCTCTCATTCATCCGTCATTCACTCTAATAAATTCATTTTTGCAAGCATGTCTGGTTCTCTGATTGATTTCCGCTCCCTCGTCGACTCGTACGACTTTGCTCCCGACGGCCGAGAAAAGTTCAACACCTTGTTCGGCCTCCTGGACAAAGCCATTGGCAGCTCCGCCAGCCACACATCTGACGCCAATGAGGCCGTCGCCAATGGCATCGACGAGATAAGCAACCGCGACGAGCCAGAGGGCTATCTCTGGACATTATGGACGCTCTTGATTGAAATCTCAAAGCGCATCCCGTTGGACGACCCGCGGGTGCAGAGCTTGGTTGAAATTACCCAGAAGCTCAAGGTCAAGAAAAGCGCAACGGTGGAGGTCTGGGGAACGAAGTTTAGCCTGTGGACTGACATGCCGCTCTTTGGCGCCGTCATGAGAGAGGCGTGGAATGGTGAGTCCAATACCAATTCGTTCTTTTTCCTCATTTACTTTGACAAGAAGAAAAAAGACACGGTTGTTTGAATCAGAAATACTAACAATTTTAGGCACTCCTAATTACGACAACTCCCCCGAAGATGCCACCACAATCGCCCAATGGAAGTCGCTCAACTCATTCGCCGCCCGCCTCCTCGGCTCTTCCGTGGAGTCTTGGACGAATTTCGCCCTGTGGGAACTTCGCGACGGGCTGGAAGAGCCGCTGGAGTCTCAACAGGCCAAGGACACGCACTTGATAACCGCATCGGAATGGATCACCCACGCTGGCAAGGTGTTGTACGATGAAGGGCGCAAGGGAGTGCCGGTGGGCGAAGATGATGTACAGTCTCTCAGTACCGGTTCGCTGTTGAAAGGGGAAGCTTCGGGATTTAGTGAAGCGAGATGGGACTTCTGGAAGAAGAAGATTCAAGAGCTGAGCGTGGGAGCGGGTGCCGAGGCGAAGAAGAGGGCGGAAAAGGCCTTGGAGGTGATTAAGAGCCTCGAGGCTTGAAGCCATCTCAAACTTCAACAAAATATGTACCAAGCAAGAAATGGGGGTAAATTCTTCATTTCGCTTTCTAGATCTTACGCAGCCATAGCATGATAAATCTCCACTTTGCCTTGTTTCACACACAACGTGGCCTCCCAAATGAACCCAAAGACTCCTGTACGCCGAACCCATCTTGCGCCGCATCTCGCCCATCACGCATACATCATATCGCCATCCTCCTCTTCGTCGTCCTCCACAATTGGAATCTCCTTCCTCTTGCCCATCTCATCACGGCACATGGGACACGTCCCCTTGCTCCTCAGCCACGGACCAACGCATTCCAGATCAAAACGATGCTTTCCCTGGCACGGCAGCTCCACGACAAGACAATATTCGTCCTCCAAGTAGGGTATTTTGCAGATGGCGCAGTCATCCTCCTTGTCGAGCTTCTTCCGGTTCACTCGCTCCAGCATATCGACAAACTCCTGACTCGCGCCCTGCAGTCTCGTCGGCGGATCATGAATGTCGTCCTCTAGGGAGGCTATCAGCTGCTCTAGAAAATCGCGATTGCCCTCTGTAGGCGCAGTCGTCTGCAGCGTCTGGAGCTGGCTCTGCAGGAGACGGAAGAGCGCGGCTGTGTCGACGGGCGTCGGCGTGGCGTGCGGGTTGTGATGGGGGTTTTCGGTGCTGCCTGGCTCATCGAGCTGGTTGAGGAGGGAGAAGAAGGAGGCCATGTCGACGCGGCGGCCTTGGCGACGGGGCTCGGAGAGTTTTACATTGTGTTCGACTGCGGGTGAGCAAGGTTGTAAGCTTTCTGCTGGTGGTGATGCTGTCGTGGGAGATGATGTGTAAAATACATACGTTCGTACTGAGTGGCCATGATGGGCAGCGTTGCGGAGCAAGAGCGCCGAATGACGAAAAACAGCTATTCACAGACAATTCTGCCGAGTTCAATTGGTTCAAAAGATGCTCCCATCAAAGAGGCGGATGGGCTGTCCGCAGCATAAAGAGAAAACTGAACCAGCGCAGGCAGAGATGCTGTCGCAAGCCCGCAGCCATGGAGGGGCACAGCTTTTAGCGGTTGGAGGGGCATCAGACCCCTAGCAGCTGCGAACTACTTCACATGCTAGCAGTTCAGTGCCTTTATCCGCTGTAAATTGAATGCCTTGCCTATTCCAGGTACATAGTAATCTGGTCAGCACCGTAGCTGCTGCGGACTTGATCCCCACCTTTTCGCAGTCCATTCAGACGCAAATCACGTCACAAGAGATAGAACCAGATGCTCCTCCGTCTCACGCGGATGAAATACAAAGCAACGCGTTTGTAATAAACGCCGACCCGAATTTAAGTTCCCTCGGCTTGATGACGATTTTCCACCTGCATTGATTGCAATTACTGCACAAACCTTCGGCGTTTCGGGCCGCAACGTCGTGATTAACTCCATTCCATCACATCCAACCATCCGAGGTGGGACATAATCATATAACACCACTCCGCCTCCCACTTCTGTCGAGCTTCTATTTCTTCTTCTCATTTCCCCATCGAGCTACTTTTTCAATCCAGTAGCCTTCGTCTTTTCCATCTCAGCTTGCCTTTATCCACCTGCTCTTATCAATTGCTGCTCCACCACCAGGCTCCTCACATCCCCAAAGCAAAAAAGCCAGCGTCAACACCAATGGCCTCCAACTCCGCCGCCGTCTTTGGCTCGACCGGCCTCGTTGGCTCCCACATCCTGTCCAACCTCCTCGCCACCGGGCCCTTCAAGCCCGTCACCACCATCGCCCGCCGCGCGCCAAAGGCCGAGTCGCCCAGCCTCAACTCCATCGTCGACGCCGACTCCAACAAGTGGCCCGCCACGCTCCTCGGCCTCTCGCCCGCGCCGCACGTCACCTTCTCCGCCATCGGCACCACGCGCGCGGCCGCCGGCGGCATCGAGAACCAGTGGAAGATTGACCACGACCTCAACGTCGAGGTGGCCCGCGCCGCGAAGCAGGCCGGCGTCAAGACGTTTGTCTTCATCTCCAGCGTCGGCACCGACGGCCTGCTGGCGTCTACTTCGCCCTACAGCAAGATGAAGAAGGGCGTCGAGACGACCATCAAGGAACTCGAGTTTGACCACGGCATCATTGTGCGGCCGGGGCTCATCCTGGGCGAGCGCGAGCAGGGCCGCTTCTTGGAGGGTCTTGCTACCACTCTGGTTCGTGGCCTGGGGTTCATCGGGTTGAAGGACAGCGTTGCGCAAGATGCCGAGGTGATTGCGCGAGCGGCCATTCGGGCCACGCAGCTGGCCGATGAGGGCAAGGCTCCCAGCAAGTTCTGGGTGCTTGGTCAGAGCGACATTATCAAGCTTGGCCGGACGGAGTGGCAGGGCGAGGAGAAGAAGTAGACGTCTTCAACTGCGGGGATGCATGTATCTCGCATTGGCGTACATGGAATTGATCAATACCCTCTCTGCTCTTTTTTTCTTCTCCTTTTTAAATTTTCTTTCATACTAATCAACTTTCTCTTTCAATACCCAAGCTCGTGGACCACAGGAGGGGGCCATTGCTTAGCTCAATTCTTAGGAATTGCCAAGCACCAGTGATGTTCGACCACGATCAAGAAGAGCAAAGAAAACAGAATGATGAATCAGACATGTTATAAGGGGGGGGAGCGCAGATTAGAAACATTTGCAAGCAAGTTGAAAAATCTCTTCTTTGGTGTAGCTAGTTCATGGCTGAAGTTGTTATATTGGTAAGCAAAACGCTGGCTTACACGTAGCTTTGAAATTCAAATGATACCTCTTTCCATCTTTTAAAAAGCTGTCAACCATATTAAATCCATCCCCAGTGGAGATAAAACAACAAAGCAGTAAACAATAAAAGGGGAAAGGCCATCCAACCTCCATCAACAGCAAAACATCAAAAGATTCAGCCCTGCCGGCACAAAGTCCGCCGACCCGCACCCGGACTTGCCCCGCGACCGAACCCCGAGTGCACCGAGACGCCGCAAGGCCTATAACGACTAGTACCCAGCTACCCAGGTAGTGAAGGAAAGCCCAGTGTTGGAAACAGAGATTGAACAACGAAGCGTTCTTTAGTTTGGTTCTTTTGGCTTCTACAGCACCTGGTGCCCCGCCAATCCCCCGCCCGCACGATCTTTTTTAGTTGCTCCCGCGCGGCTGATAAGGCGCGCAAAAAAAGAACTAAGGAGCTGGCCTATTTCATGCTAGGTTGCAATTTAACAGTCATACCGAGCTTCAACTTCACAACGGCGCTCTTTCTTTCTTTCTTTCTTTCTTTCTCTCCTTCTCTCTTCTCCTACTCTTTTTGTTTCTTCATTCAGCACATAGAGGGGAAACAGCAAAAAGTAATAATAATACCAGTCCAAATAAAACGACATCTCGGACTGTGCTCTTTCATCTTACAAAAAAATTACCTCTCATAAACTCCAAACTCAACTCACTCAACCTCAACCTCAACCAACTCACCACAATGGCCTCTCGCCCTCAAATCATCGGCCCCGAAGCCGGCCCCGAAAAGCCCTACCCCTACAAAATGGAAGGCAAAGTCATTTCAGGCTTTGGCCGCGGTTCCAAAGAGGTACGCATACCTTCATAAAAATCACTCCTACATTCATATATACACACACATGATTTCTCACAACCTCCTCCAGCTCGGCATCCCAACCGCCAACCTCCCCGTTGACGACGCCCTCACCCCCTGGATCGCAAACATCCCCTCCGGCGTCTACTTCGGCTACGCCTCCCTCGCCCTGCCCGCCTCCCACCCAGACAAGCCCCCTTCCTCCAGCGCGGCAGACGGCGCCTTTTCAGTCTTCCCCATGGTAATGTCCATCGGCTACAACCCCTTTTACAAAAACACCGTCCGCAGCGCAGAGGTGCACATCCTGCACAAGTTTGGCCACGACTTTTACGACGCCCACATGCGCCTGCTGATCCTGGGCTTCATCCGCGAGGAAAAGGACTACAAGAGCCTGGAGGCGCTGATTGAGGACATCAACTTTGATTGCGAGGTGGCCAAGAAGAGTCTGGCGAGGGAGGCGTGGGGGTGGGATAAGGGAGTTGGGGAGGATGCCGAGTGGTTTGTTAAGCCTTTATAGATTTTTGATGTGCTGAAGCACTTTTTACATGTTTTTTTTCTTTTCTTTTAAAATACCATTTCTTGTTTCAAAAGCAAGAAAGAAATACGAGGTTACGGATTTATCAATGTGTGGTGAGAGACAAGGCTGGGATGGCACAACATAGACAAGTCAAGTCAAGAGTAAGAGAGAAAAGGCGCAGCAAAATGTCTTGGATGAGATAAAATATTCAATAAAAAAGCCATAAAGCATTGCAGCACTAGCCATGAGAAAGAAAGAAAAGACAATTCCCCCTCTTTGGCCAGTCGTCATCACACCTATATACTAGATATACGTATGTCCGAGTGGGTATGTTTGTGCATGCATAGTTTGAATGTGAGTGTGAGTTTTTTGTGTCTTGTTTTGTGTGCATGTTTGCGCACCTGTGGGTATCATCCAAGTTAATTCCCTCTGGTCATTAAGCTCATGTCATGTCAAACCGAAAAAAATAAGAAAAAAGCCAGACAAAAAATAGCGAGAGAGAGGAAGCACGCCATGAGACGTCTCGTGCTCTCCATAAGAATAGAAAGAATCAAAAAGCAATATCCTATTTCTAACCCAAAGTCCACCAGTTTTCTTCGTAAAAAAAGGATCAGATATAATAGGCATCATAGCCTATCTGTCCATGTCCATTGTAAACGTTCATAACCAAAAAGGAAATGAAATGAAAAGCCAAACACCTTTCATGCATAAGTAACGTATAGTGTGTGCTGATTGAGAGTGCAGCCTAACGAGCTTCACACAGCGAGTTGATGAGGTTCCTGGTTAATATGATAACGAGGTAAAAACTGCAGAATCGTTAGCCACGCTGGTAATGTCAAATCTTGGGGGAATTGAGTTGAGAAATAAACTCACGTTGATGATAATCATCATGGGAATATCAAACACATCTCGCTTAATCGTCCAGCAATACGTGCAGTCGATTTTGCCATCCTTTTCAATCCTTGAAATGCCGTGCTCGCTGTCAATCATGGTAACGCGGCTGCTCAGGATACCCGTTCTGGGGTGTTTCTGGGGTCCCAGCATCTCCTTTGCTTCCAGCATCTCCTGCGTACGGTATTGAATCAGCCGACCACTACGCTGGACCTTGCCTCTGCTGTCTTCAAATGCCAGTTGAGCAAAATCGCGGTAGAACTCGACCAGACTATCATCGTCCAGCAACTCGCCCAGGAATACAGGCTGAGGGCGCGAGTTGTTATTCTGCTGCATCTGCTGATTCTGATTCTTGGCGGCAGGTGTCAGTGTGCCAGACGAGCCTAGGCTATCGCCATCATCGGTGCCATCTTCCGAAGATCGCGTATATATGTTGCGGTTGGGCGCCTTGCCAAGCAGGACATCCTTGGGCCATCCGGTCAAGGCCGCAAATTCCTTATTCACGGCCGCGACTTCGCCAGATCGCCGACATACAATGGTCGGGGCGCAGCAGTGCTGTAAAAAGTCGTCAAACTCAACAAGCGTCCGCTGGAAGCATTTTTCCATGAAGATGAGATCTTCCCGAGTCAAGTCTTTGGTGCACGAGATGAACGAGGGTCGAATCTCTCCCAAGGACTGAGCAATCTTCAGCAGCTTACCCAAGGGCAGCCGGTTGCGTATGACGGATATCATGTTATGGAATCCAGCAACATATGGGTAAGGTTCTTTGACGCTTGCATATATAGACGCAGAGTCCCGCTGTCTCTTGCCGAGAATAGACTGAAGCATCTTGTCTTGCTTCTGCTTGTGACGCTGAGGCCCAGGCAGATTAGGCAAGCCTGCGAATGCCGTTGGGTTGGGAGAGCCATCCATGATGGCCTGTGGGCTCGCCGTCGTGTCGGTACTTGGGCTGGCCAGGCTGTTTGGCCCAGCGGCGATGGCAAATGCGTGAGGCAGGCCATGCTGGAGATTGCCCTGGGTGTACATGTTGGATCCCACATCGAGGCCGCCATAATCACCGCCCATCATGGCAGCATCATACGACCCGTTGCCATTTCCAAACATGGCGGCGTAGTTTGCTTCCGTCTTGGGGGTATGTGACATGGAATTCTCCCGCGGTGGCGTTTCTGCACCGAGCGTCATTTTGTTCAGAATTCCAAATTCCCATCCAGCATATTGACTGCCAAAATTGAGGCCTTCGAGATCAAAATTATATAGTGCGGGGTTGCTGGGATCAAACAGCGCGTTGAAATCCATAGCAGGCGCTCCTGGGAGCATGCCACCCATGTGTGCCTGCGCTGCGGCAGAAGCACTATGAAAGGAGGGCGAGATGGGAGAGGCCTGAGGGTTGAGATGAATGTTTTCGGGAATGGCCACCTGAGGCTGGCTAACGTTTGGGTAGACAGAAAATGAGGGGGTTCTCTGCGGTAGAAAGCCATCATTCGAGGGCGGCGCAATCACGGGCTCAGAGTGGCCGTTGGTCTTTGTAGACAGGGGAGGGCTAAAGTTTGGCCCCAAGACAGGCCGGAGAGCCTCTGGAGGGGCATCGTGAAGGTACTTTGCCTTTTTCCTAACGCCATCCTGGCACGCATCGGCAAGGCCTCGCTTGATGCATCTCTTGCAGGGCCGTTCGTCTCCTGTGAAGGATAAAAGTCAGTGAAAGGGATGATTTCAATGGATATCGAATCCAAAAGAAGAAGGGAAAAGAGAGAAATGTCGAGAGATGTCAATGAAAAGTAGGGATAGCCAGTCGTCTGGTAAAAGAGGCAGCGCGAGAGAAGGGGTGTAAGCAGGAGGACTGCTTCTTCCTCTTTCTCCTTTTAATCATGGAAACAAAACGCAAAACGCACCGCAAGTTAAATGCGCCCTCTGGCAAGCAAAACACGCTCTCCTGGCCTTCTTCCGCCTGGGCCTCGAAGGGTCCTTGGGGTCGTACTTCTTCTTGTCGTGAGAGGAGCCATTGGCTCCCGCGGGATCGGCCATGCTTTCGTCGTCGTCCTTGAGAAAAGTCTCCGAGTCTTCTTCGTTCTCGGACACAGGGTCTGAGACGTCTGCTCCGTTGTCCTCCATGTCTTCGGGCATTATGGCTACGGGTCTTTTTATATATAATGACAAGCCCCCTCTTGGCGCTTGCACAGCAGAAAGTGACTATTTGAGTCGGCGCACCTGCAGGCCAGTTGCTCTCGCAAATCAGGGCAGCGATCCCAATCCATCCAAACCTATGCGCTGATGAACCACACCAAGGAGCGCACGGCTTTGGTAGCACGGGCGAGCAGGGATCCGGATAGTGACACGGCCGTGTCTTTTTTTACGCAGAGAGGTGCAAATCAAACAAGCAAGAAGCGATCCACAGTGGCTTGAAGCTGGTCAGGGTCGCAATTGGGCAAGAGTCACCCTGCCTTGAAGTTATTGGCGCTCGCGCAACGAATGGAAGCAGAGCGGCGAGCAGGTCCCTGTCGCGGGAATCTGTGTGTGTAGGTATATGCGCTCGTCTGCGCAGTATCCTGTAAGACTGCAGTAGCTGGTAGCTATGCGCTGACCGGTCGCGGGAGGGAAGATCCGGGGCTGATGGCGTGGGAAGCCGGCAAGGGCCAGCGACGTTGGAGGAGAGCGGCCAGTTCGTATTCTCAGCGGCGTGGATACAGTCGACAAGGCCAATCGGCGTCGTCAAGGGCTCAGGCGCACAAGAGGCGTCGGTCGTGTGACCGGGCGGCAGGTTTCAATAGAGCTGCGGCGCCGGTGGCATGGAGGCCAGTGAATTGCACGCGGAAGCGCAGCCGGGCAGGATCTGTCTTGTCCTCTTCGGATGCTGGGGGGGTGTGTGATCGATCGGCCCAGGATTTCGCGGGGGCAGGAGGCGAGGGCCAGAGAGCAGAGGTGACGCCGCGTCCGAGGATAGAGACGGGCCAGACGCAAAGGGAGCGGCGGTTGGTTTGCTGCAGCCACTCGTCACCCGTCGATGATGGATCAAGGACACCGTCCGGCGGGTGGGCGATCGATGCGCAGGCCAGACGGCAGACGTGAGGATCGGGACCGAAGACCGGAAGCTGCAATCGAGGTCGAAAGGCAGAGTTGCAGGTCGCAGGTCGCAGGTGAGGTCGCGCAGCAACTGAGGCATGCGAGCAGCGCAGCGCAGCAGCCACGGGCTTGGCGGACGTTGGAGCAGCGACTCCGGCGGCGGCGGCAAAAACTTTTTGAGACGGGGCTCGGCGTGGAGACCCGACGAGCTCGAGCCGGGCTATGCGACCCCTTTCCGCGGCAGGGGAGAGCGAGGCAAGATGCGGCTGCTGCACGGCAGACCGGTGAGAGAAGAAGGGAAGAAGCAAGAAGCGAGAGCAGCAAAAAGGCGCAAGGGGTGGAGGAGTCAGAGGTTCCGTCAGCCAGATGCTGGCAACGGTGCCTTACCTAGTCGTCGACTTAAGCTCAGCCAGGGCGGCGATGCTCGTGGGATCGATTTCGTAATTGCCAGCGGCTCACTCTCTGCTCGCAACTGGGACGCAGCGCTGAAGGCTGGCTGGAGCCCGCTGGAGCCCGCTGGGTTGCCGCCCTGGGTGCTAATGGGCTGGACCGCTGGGATCCCCCGTACTGACGCAGCCATTGCGGGGTTTTCCCCCAAGCCTTGGCCCGAGCTAGGCCGGTGGCGGCGCTTCTGGGGGCTGGGGCTGGATTTGGATTTTGGGCAATCAGGGCGACGCTGACTGGCCACGGCCCAAAGGCGAGATCTGGGTACTTGTACGCGGCAACTCGCTGGCGCCCTATGGCAGCATCAAGTACTCAAGGTACTGCAAATCACGACGGGAGACGAACAAGACGCAAATACAAAGCAGAATTGATCTCATCAATGCCCTGGTTGCAGTCACGTCCTGCGGAGCCCTGGCTTGTGTTCTCGACAATAAACATGCAGCCACCGCGCCGTGTACCAATACTTCAAGGTTGTGCTCTAAGTGCATGCAGGCCTAGGACGAATGGGAGTCGAAGTGACTGCGTGTGTCGCGTGCGGCCGTCGAGAGGCAATCATGGGGTGCCAAGAGGCCAATTCCAATTCGAATCCATGTTTTCTAATCTCTGTTTCTCTTCTGCATCTTGACCATGTCCTTGTGCGACTCGTCTGTACCTCTGCACTCACCGATTGGATTCTTCAGTCTCCAGCAGCAGCCCCCAACAAGACAATCACCAGGCTCAATACAATAGAAAAACCAATTGCCCAGAGTCGTATTGCTACCTCTTAGTCCAAATCTAGCGCCAACCACCGCCGGCGTTCGGTAGTGGATGCGGCTAATTGAATCCAGGCCAAGCTAGGGGTGTGATTATTTGCAGGTTTTCTGCATGTGTCAATAGAGCAAGGCGTAGAAAAAACTCTGCCCAACAGAATGCAGGTGAAGATGGCGAGACAAGGGGGGTTTCTGGCGTTTGGTTGCTTGGAAATATTGGCTCTTACAAGAAGCAATACTACCTGCATGTACTTGGACACAAGCAACCACATGCACCTATGTGAAACGAATTCTCATAGACACAGAGAGGGACAAAAAAATAGACATCCACAACTCTACTGAGACGCCAAAAAAAAATTATGACGAAAATTCTCGGGAACGTTCCTCCCCCAGTCGATCAGCGATAGCCGAGCTTCCGACTCTAGCCCGCCGAGGTCTCTGTATACACTAGTACGTAAAACACTGCCCTCTATTAAGGAGGCTGTAGAGACTGCGAGAGAAAGAAAGAAAGAAAGAAAGAAAAGAAAAAAACAATGGCATTATTTTCATGCATGCCGAGACATTATTTGCATTTCCATTATTAATTGTAAACGCTGTCAATACGAGTGCTCCAATCCTTACCAAAACACCGCTTGTGCCTGTCCAGTCCCACTCTCGAGCTCACTTACATCACTCAAGCTCACACAAACACAAGATCCCCTCCCGCAGGGCAGTCCATGCTCTTTTGACACGCCTGTCTCACACGGCCACCGCATGGCCGCTCTGGCTCCATCAAGAACAAGCTGCTGCCCTGTACCACACGCATCCACAAAGTTGCTGCTTGTAACACCAAACCCCTCACAAAAACAAACCTCACTGCATATGGCGGTCCCCTGCCCTGCGCAACTCACACGGAAACCCCAATGTCTCTATTGGTTCCTTACTTTCAGCTCGCATCCTGCCGTGCCTTGGGCTGTCAAATCAGGGCCCGGCGCGGGAAGCCAGTGGGCAAACACCGAACATGGTCGTAAAAAATGTACCGGTGAAGCAATTTCATACATGGACTCCCCTTGACTTGTTTCGTAGGCATCTCATCCTGGTATTTTTGTTTCCAAACTTGGACAGCTGAGTCGTAAACGATGTTGCTGTCCGGTGCTGTATGGCGCTTCTTCTAAAAGCAGGGATTTGCCAGCTTTCCAGCTCTGCGTCTCAGCCGCATCCATCGCAAAAACCGGTGACAGAGGTGCATATCTTGGCAAGCCTCGTCCGTCTCTGCATATGCTAGTTATACTAACTGCTGCTACATACCCCTCTCTCGTCTTCCAAATAGACATGTCGGCGTGATTCGAAAAGCGCCCAGTCTCCTGCGTCTGCTCTGCCTGCAGAGACGGCTTCCTGCAGACGCCCGTTGACTCGCATCCCTGCCTCAACAAGTTTTCGGTGTGATGCATGTTGTAAATCCTTGCATTTTTGGCTCTTCTTATTGCATGTAATGCCTCATCCTGGTATATACTTGGATTTTATTGTCTACCTCATTATAGTCGTATCCGTCATTCTGCTCATCCCATGCCATCTCCAGCCGAAGCCTGGTGTATTATCCGACAGTCTATAGTCCCGAAAAGGCATCTTCCATCATCTTGTCTCTTCTCTCTTGTCTCCTTTTATCCTTCTTTCTAGTCCTATGCGCCCAAAGAAATTTCCAAAAGATGAATCCCAATTTACCAGTATTACCCTCCAATAAGATTAGGGTGTAATCGTCTCGTACACCTCTCACACCTTTTTATCCAAATCCACCCTAAATAGCAAAAAAAAGCGGCATAAATGTTGTTTCCCCTCACGACCGTGCATATCGGCTCCTGCTCCTAATCTTCTTGCCGTATTTGAAAAAGACGTACGGGAACGGTATCATGGCCACGGTCAGGAACGCCAGCAGAGACGACGCCCACTGGTCGCCGAGCCTATGGTACATTTGTGCTCCGAAAAGAGGGAACACAGCTGCAGGTCTAAGAGTTAGCCCACGACGCTACAGCCTTGGATTTACATGGACATGGACATGGCCATGGGGGGGGGGTGACAGCTCATCCAATCTTGGCTTACCTGCAAATGAACAGCGCACAAATGTGTTGGCCGCGAGGGCGCTGGCGGCGTACGCAGGATATGCGTCGACCTGAAGAGCCTGTTAGCATACACGTATACTTCCCAGATTGGAAAGAAAACAGTAAATATGGCGTATTCCATGCTGGAAAGACTTACCAAGAACGTAAAGATACCGGAAAAGACGAGCATGTTTCTGTAATCCACCCACAGTCAGCCACCAGAACACACGTGTCAACAGAAGCAAAACACAATACTGCTCCAAACAGGAAACGAAACAAAGAAGCTCTCCCGCCAAGGACGGCGTGAGGCAAGGGGGTGTTTTATAAAACAACAAAAATGCCACTATTCATACGCCGTGTCACCGTGGCTTTTCTTTTGGGAAATATAGAAAGACGCCACCACATGTTTATGTTACTCACCCTGCTCCAAATATGGCCGACCCAATAATGGGCGCGATCCAGTGCACAGAAGGATACGACGTCCAGGCAAACACAAAGATGCCAATCGACACCAGAAAGGACCCCAGGATGGCCGGCGGCAGCCGAAACTCGGGCTCGCTGCTGCCCGGCACGCCAGTCTCCTGCGACAGCTTCGCAATCAGCCTGCTGCGGATGCGGTGCCACACCGGGTCCGTCAGCATGCCGATGATCATGCCCAGCCCGAGGCCCAGGAAGGTCAGGCCGACCTGGTACGGCTGGAAGCCGTGGTGGGTGCCAAAGACGATGCCAAAGGCGCCGAAGAAGACGTACAGGATGCCCAGCAGGATGGCGCAGAAGATGTCGAGGAAGAGGCACATGGGCTCGAACATGAGCAGCTGGAAGGGCCGCTGCAGGGAGACGAGCACGGCCTTGAAGACGGACTTTTGCACCTTTTCCGTGGGCGCGAGCCAGCGGTTGTCGCCCGTCTCCTTGCGCATCTTGCGAGCCTTGTTTCTGAGCAGAATCGTGTCTATAAGTTTGTCACAGATGACCTCACGTTAGAAACACTGTACTGTACTATTTCCTTCATATTGTGTGATATCAAACCACTTCACATCGCCATCATCTTACACGCAAAGCAGGGAGAATGAAAGCATATAGGGAGGGGGCCAGCTTACGGAATGTCTCAGGCACAAGCAGCACGATGGCAACCCACATGACGCCCGCCCAGATAATCAGCACATAGTACGTCCACCGCCACGTCGTAAACTGGTTGATGAAGCCGCCCACGATGGGTCCCACGCTGGGCCCAATAAAGGGCGCAATGGTAAAGGCCGCCATGGGCAGCTGCAGCTCGTCCTTTGCAAACATGTCGCCCACCGTGCCGCCCGACACCGTCAAGAAGGCACTCCCCGCCAGGCCGTCGAAGAAGCGTGTCACAATCATGGTTGCCACGTTCTTGGCGACCGTCTGGGGAATCAGCCAGATCACGTACAGCGTCCAGGAGACCAGGTAGATGGGGCGGCGGCCAAAGAACTCGCTGAGGGGGCCGAGGAACATGGGGCCCAGGGCGATGCCGAGAATAAAGGACGAGAGGCCGAGGACAGAGACTTCGCGCGAGTTGTGGAATTCAGCCTCCATCTGCACGTACGTCGACGTGTATATTGAGCTGGCGCATGTTCTATACCAAAGACGCAGGTATGTTAGCCACTCATATGTTGTACCGCAAGTCAAGTCCAGCGCCACATTGTTCCACCTCAGCTTTTGTCTCTCTCTCTCTCTCCATCATTTTCTGACATTTCCGTCTTAAATCAACCAACCAAGCTGGCAAAAGAAAACCACTTACACTGTAAGACTTCCCGCCGCAACGATAAACACAATCAGCCACTTGCGCGCCTTGTTGAAGCTCCTTGGATGCCACGGGTCCGCGTCGCCACCGTCCCAGCCAACTTCGTACGGATCCTTCTCCGGCCGCCCTGCCTCCAGGGCCTTTTCGTCGTGGTTCTGCTCATGCGACACGCCATAGCCGTTCTGCGATACCGTCCGGCCCACGTCCTTCATCGACTCTCTGTTTGAACGGGTGTTTTGCAGATCCAGTCCGGCGTCGTCGTCTCCTTCTGGGGTGGGGGCCTCGTAGGCCTTTTCGCGGTCCGCCATGTTGGACCCGAGGGTCGATGCCGTGTCTACGTCTAGTTCCGTCATCGAATTATCGAATTGCTGGCGTTGAATTGGGGCGAGAGAGGAAGGGGGAGGGGGGGTGGTTTGCTTGGCCTTGCTTTGGGTGAAGCAGAGCTCAGTTCTGTTTGTGTGGGCGTTTTCAAAGACTTTTTGGTGAGTGAATGATTGCCAATGCCCAAGCAAAAGAGAGAAATTGAAGATGTGCAGTGGATCAA